AATCACTTTTTATCATATCACTTATTTATTACTTATTTTCTTATTTTTTGGCTGAAAAAATGCCCTCCAATGAATGATTACAGAAAGGTAAAATCAAACACTGAAGAAAGTTTTTGAATCATAAGGGTCAAATCATGAGTGAACAAATAATTTGAGGGCTACTTTAATCAAATTTTAGTCACATTGTGTGCAGAACTGAAATAGTGTAAAAATATACCGTTGTCAACTCTCAGTTTTACAATTATACCCAGTTTATATAATTCCAAGACTGTTTGGGACCACAATATGCAGAAATATTTAAATATACCATTTTGAAAAATGGCAATGTTCCTTTTTCCGTGTATTCCCTGGTAAAAACTCAGAAGCTACTTGACAGAATCATGAATGGAATGAGGGATTACTTAGTAACTACTCAGTCATATATCACTTTACTTGGATGATAAACAAAAAGAGTAAATGTAAAAAAACAATGAATGAGTTGTTAATAGACTGTGCCACTCAGCGAAAGTGGTCTTATGTTTCACTGATATTTATGAACTTATCATTTCCTTATGATTCCAGTAAATGGTACTGGCCCAGAAATTTGTTTGCAGGGTCACTAAAGTTGCAACTGCTTAGTTTGCCCACAAGAGGTCACCATCACACATGCTTCCATGAGAGGGGCTGTCACAACTCCCATCAACTGACAGCCCCACAGTTGTCATTGGATGACCCACATCCATAAATATGCTGATGATACTGACACCAGTGGATACACACTAATACATGGCCTGCCCTTCGCATGTCCAGCATGTCTTTGGGTCAGATATACCGTTGTGTGCTATGTAAAGGTACTGTGACTATATTCGCATGTGTTGAGTGTAGACTTCACTGTCTATAGTAGAGTAGAGCGCTTTCACCAAGCAAAGCAGCTGAAAGCAGCTATACTGTCAGTGTTGTGTCAGTAATATAGACGTTATCTGTCTAAACAAAGACACAGTCTAACTACATTTTTTGACATCTCTGCACACCTCAGTAGGCTATCTCTTGAGAATGTATCAACTTGGTACAAGGCTGTAGTTAACCAGGCTTTAAACTTAAATGACAGGTAGAAACACATGACTTCACAACATAGTTATGCATTTTATTTGCAGGAACCAGAAGAGTCACAGTTTGTAATAAGCCTATAGAGCAGGACACTCAACTTGTTTTGACGGGGGGATGGCACTTTTGCAATATGACAGGAGGCCAGGGGCAAGATAATAAACAAATGTTAATGATATTTCTCAGAAATCACTAAATGAATTGCTTGTTTTCAACCTTTTGTCGTTTGGTGTCCTCACTCATCTTTGCTAAGAGGCAAATCCAGTGGCAGCAGCCCCGCACAGGTCAGGTGTATGCAGGGGCATGTCTAGAATTTAACGACATTCAGGGCTTAGCCCGGACCTCTGTCTGGGCATCTGGGGAAATCCTTACTGGCATTTAAAAAAAAAACAAAACAAAACTCTATTTCGTTTGTTCTGCACTCTGGTACCGTATCTGAATTCAAATTATAGAAAAAAAATCCCAATATAATTTAATAGATTTTACCTTTGAATTAGAGAATGGTCGGCTGGCCACCAGGCACCCTATCGAGGGCCAGGTTTGGCCCACAGGCCACAAGTTGAGTATCATTGCTATAGAGTGAAGTCATTTATCTTTCAGTATCTTGGATCTATCTTAGCACCCAGGGAGCTCATCTTTACTTTACATCTACTAACACCATTACACAGTGGTGATCTGCTGCTGTATGCGACTGTTGAATCATTGAGTTACCTGACACCAGCTCTTAACAATGCTTTTACATCTACAATGGATTACATGACTATTTGTATGTGAAACACAAGGAATTATTACCAAACTCTGCAGTTCCTCTCAGTTCTACTAGGTTTTATGGCACCTTTGAGCTTATTGTTTTGGTTTTCTGCTCAGTACCTACTTTTACTGTGATAGTCCATTCTCAGCATTCTCATGCTGCAGCATCAAACAGCAGACAGGCATGACAATGACTATCTGGTGAACATGGGAGAGCAAGGGCCTAAGTTTAGTTTCAACATTTGCCAAGGGGGAGCATCAAACACTAATTTTCTGCATTCTGGTGAATGCATGCATTTTTTTTTTTTTTTTGCCTTTTATGCTTCAATTTATGGACGAAAAGTCTTTAATTTCATCTCAATAAAAGTCTCCTGTATCTGAAACATCAGACATGCAGACAAACAGGCAGGAACAGTCAGCAGGAACTGAAAAAAACAAGACCACAGAGAACCTACAAGGGAACATAAGCAGATGATCTGATGACAAACTGTTGATAGTGGCAGGTTATTTACCGACTAAGGTGATGAGGTAACTGGGAACAGGTGTGTGAGCATGGAGGGAAGCCCATGTGATTACAAATGGAAAACAGGTGAGGATATGGGGCTGGGAACAAAGTCCAGGGACATCAAGTGGCTGGATGGAAAATGGTAGGTCTTCTGAATTAAAAGGACAACCAAGATCAGGGATAATAAGCAGGGGCTGGAGACAGGGGCAGAGGGGAACATAGGAGCACACCATGACGATCCTATCAGGTAAGGTGCTGAAAGGTCCCATAGAGCCTATATGATGCATGAGGTGTTATAGGAGTCCCAGCGTTACAGTCTAGTCCAACACATGATGTCAGCTCCACTGTTTGCCGCACACTCGGCTCAGCAGCTTTCAAACATCTATCATTTGAGGTTATTGGTTAAATGCTTGCTACAGACACGTTTTCACTTGGGAGACATCAGATGGGAAAACATCACGATCTGGCAGCCATCAGCACATAACTGAATCTGAAGTCAGGTTGAGGCGAAATAGAGGGAGCGAACATTAGAAACCCACACATTAGTGACTTGATGGCTCATGTTCTATCAATACTGCACAGCAGAATGCTTAAGTATGTATGTGTCTGTACAGTATGATAACACATTAAAGGTCCAGTGTGTAGGATTTAGGAGTGTCTTTTGGCACAAATGGATTATATCATAATATGTGTTCTTTAGTGTATAATCACCTGAAAACAAGAGTTGTTGTGTTTTCATCACCTTAGAATGAGCGGCCTACACAGGGAGTAGGTCCTCCAAACAAACCAAATGCTGGCCTTAGATAGGGCCATGCACTTTTCACATCAGCCACCAAAGTTAGCAGCCCCTCAGCAATGAGCAGCGTTAGGACAAACACTTATTGTTTTTAATGTGAAACAGCTTTATTCAGTGTTTTTACTGATTCTAATCACCTGGTCTGTTTGTTATTTTAATTACACTGCAACAAGTTTGATAGTAGCCTCATAGTACTGACTTGCAGTAAATACATTCTAATGGTATGGCCACAGAAAAGCATCATTTTCCATATGCTGTGAGTGAACTCTGATCGAAGAATGCATCAAACATATTACACTGCATTCATATTGTGGTTGAGATCATGTAATTAAGAAAAGATGGGTACAGTGAAGGGGTTAGGCAAATGTTGAGCACGAGTCTGAAACAAAGTACAAGAGCAATAAATCAATTTAGAGAGAGAGTGAGAGATGGAACAACACAGAGGAAATTCCATTATCAGCCATTGCTCAGATTGAGACATTTGAATAGTGATGCCCCGGGTCTTTCTGTGGATTTGAAGTGCCTCTGTCCTCTAATTGATCTGGCCGCAACACAGCCACAACATTTCCTCCCTGGGCTGCGGCAGAGATTCATGGGGGTGTTTACTGCATTTTGAAAGCACCGAATCTGACACAGACAATTAGTGAGGACTTTCTCTGGGCAGCTTTCCAAATCTCAGCGGACTAGCACCATTTATAATGTATAGTTGGTAATGTCGTGTAGCTGATGGAACTGCACTTGGTGTGTATGAAGGCTAAACACTATACTATAATTCAATCTTCAACAGGAATAGAGGAAAGTTTGTAATATATTATATGTTTTTCTCCCCAAAAGTCATTATTTTCTTACAGTAAGTGAGTAAAAGTATTACATAATTACATAATGACTCAAAAGAATGTCCAATTATTGATTATCTGGCAGCTCATTCACTGGAGCTGCTGCAAGACTTGGATCCCGGAGACTGAGGTTCACAAATGTTGCCTTTACCATCAGGCCATATGAGAAATATACATATAAGAGAAATAGATCATTAAATAACAATACTGGTAGACTTAGCATAAGTGTATCTATTAATTATTATGTGGAATTGGTTCGGTTTACTGCTAAGATTTTATCTATAGGAGGCCTTAAGTGCAGGCTGCAGCAGGAGGCCAGTGTGTTAGTAATTTACAGTTACTTTTATCAACATAAATTCAGTTAACTGTTACTTTTTAACAGCACAAACAAGGTGAAACACCAGGGAACACACTGAAGCATAGCTGCAATATTGTATTGGAAAAAAAATGGTCTACAGTGTAAAGCACAATACAAATACTCTAAAAGAAGTAGGTCTATTAAAATAAACTTGAGTAAACATTAGCACTTTACATTTTTAAAAAGGGTAAGGGGGTGGAGGCAGGGTAAAGAAAACACTGTATGTGACTGTACGTTATAAGATAGACCTACTAATTTACATATTTAGGATACAAAATAGTTCATTCACATGTCAGTGTATACACATCACAGATCACCCTTATGTCCAGACCTACTACAGTTTATATTTATTTCCTATAGAGGGCCTGTGCATACAACTGACTATCAATTACATAACCGCCCTCTTCAGTGTAGCCACCACAGTGGGTGCAATAAGCAGTATTAGGCCACATACATTCGTTCTTAGTGCACACACACAGGCACCACAGCTCTACTAAAGCTGATGTTCTCCTCTAAAGGAAGTTACAACCATTACAGTAAGTTTGTTGTACTGCCCTGTCTGAACGTCATTCTCCAAGTCTTGTGCATCGCAAAGACCTCATTGCAAAGACTCTTTTTTTTTCTTTTCTTGCTTTATCAGTTATCTTTCATGTGACTTGTATTGACTTTACAAGATTCCACTTGTAATGAAATAAAATACTTGAGACAAAAAAAACAGTACTTCTGAATGGTTTTGCCAAATTTGTCAGCCTTTTAGAGCCAAACATTGTCACTGGAGACTGGACTTTGTGTCCTGCATTCTGCATTTGGTTAAGTAGCAGATTTGGTTCAAGGTACCCTGTGACCATGGACCAATGTTTTTGAGAGTGGGTCCCATTTTGCTTGTACTCAACACATGCATGAGAACATACACATGGCAGAAGTGTAGCCATGCACTACTAAAATTCGGGCAAGAAGATGAATAATGGTAACTGATAACAGTAGCCTACTACTGCTACCAAACAAACATGGATGTATTACAAACTACAGGTTATAAAATATCTCCCAAAATTGGTTTTGCATGTAATTCATAATGAAGGAGATGCAGTTATGAAGACACACTATAATTGTTAAGCTCTTACTCATGCAGCCTTGCTAATACCTTACATCTGTCCTACATTAGTGTTGTGGGATTGTAACTTGGAGCAGCAGCAGAGTTTACCCGTATAAATCATGTGCAAGACAGCAACACTGGAATGGACACACCTCATTGTGTTACAGATTAGTAGAAGTGCTGCAGATAAAACTGTGGGATGGGTATGTAATCTATATCCAGGAGGCGTGAAACGCATCATGTTAAGTAGGAGCTCTCTGCCTTTCTTCCATTTCCTCTTTCAATTCAACTCTAATTTCCAGTGGTCTGTTTGTCCGGTTCATTCAGACCAGTGGGTTTCATGTCTCACTGTAGGCGGCTAAAAATACTTTATCTTCATTCACTGAGTACTGATGCAGATGTGTAATTCACTTTGGCCCTATCAGTGATTTCTTTGTAGACAGTCCAGATCCCAGAAGACCACACACATGCTGAAATGTTAAGGACTCCACAGTGAAAGGAAGCACTGCAGCGACTCGACAGTCATAGTAACGACGAATACGACAAAGCAAAAGTATGACATGAAGCAACATGCAGATTGGAGGCGAAGAGCCAGGTAGTAAGACCAGCTGCAACATCTTTACACCCTTGAGTGCTGTTAACATTCCTAGTTAACTTAGCTCAGAGGTGCCGTAAGCCCAAGGCTGAGTTTGTTCACGCTAAGTGGGTCATATTGTTCGCTGCAGTCAGCCCAAGGCTCAGTTTGACAATTTAGTGTAGAACCCTGTAGAACTGGGGACAGAGTGTGAGAGGGAGTGTGCGGATACAACAGTGTAACCTGAGAATTGCATTCATACATACTTATTCTGCAATACCCAAATGTTTTTGTTTTTTTTTTTGGGGGGGGGGGGACCTAATACCATCCAAATTCTTCAAATCGAAACATTAGATGTATCTGAAAAATGTTGACTAATACTTTTTTAGTATTGCATGCTTAATATTCATACTGAACATATTCACAAAGAGAATCCAATTAATATTTTTCTTACATACAACGTTCACTTATTGCAACTAAAACATGAATAAGGTGTTCATGACTGCATTATGGTAGCTTACAAGGGCGTAGGGCACATATGTTACAAGGGTCTTAGGCATCTTTTGAGCATGAAACTCTGAATTCTTTGCATAAATTGATGCCTATTCTGCATCAATTTATCATGCAAATGTGTTTAGCTTTGTCTAAATAAAAGTCCTCTGTGACCTTAATGTTTTTATTGGGTGGGACAAATGCACATACTGAATACCGAGAGGGACATGTTCCCTGCCCACGGCACCACCCAGTGTACGCCTATGGCAGCTTATAACAAATACTTGGTAAAACAACCGTACAGCTGTTTTCAGAGGCTGAGCAGCACTGTGAGCAGTAAAGTAACTTTGACATGTAGAATTGGTGGAGCGCCTGTGTGAGGCTAGAAACACATTGTGGTCTGGGTTAAATTTACAGGATTTTGCGGCCCTTGAAGAACGAAAGTACTTCCTGCACTGGAACTAATTGTTGCCTGTGAACATAAAGCGTAAGAGACAGGGTTGGTAAATGAGTATGATAAAGGCTGCCATGATGAATAAACTGACTAAAAAGAGGACTTAACAGATAGGTGTTTTGGTGTGGATTGTTCACATATGTTGGGTGAGCTGGTTGAAGCTGTTTTGGCCATTGATCTGGACTTTGAAGCCTGATGCGTTCTGAGGACTCTCCATTCCACTAAAGTGGTACTGGACTGACATGCATACACGCAAGCACTTCTCATGTTTCCACAAAGTGCAACAAAATCCAAATGCATGTCTGCGTGCACATACAAATACGTGTATGCACACGCACAGACAAAAAGTATGCTTTCAGTTCTGCGCTGTCTGTCTCTGTGGGCAAGACAAACATATTGGATTACATCACAATTTTCTGTTCATTCTACTTAGCTTAGATTAATGACTCAGTTTTCACTGTGAGAACTTAGGCATAAAATGAGGGTGGGAGCTTGCAGGTACCAACACATCCTTGATTGTTGGTACAGTGCTTAATCCTCTTGGTTTCGTTGTACTTTGCCTTTCAATTCAGGCTAATCAAATAAGAGCTGACTTTGTGATAACAGCAGAAACTCAGCCGCAATGCACTTTATCTTATTGATCACATCAATTACCTTTACCACAGCTCCTCCCTGTTTGTTCTCACATTGTTTCATGCACATGCACAGATAACTGTATCTGTGCTAAATCATCACACGCAGACAGTGAGGAAGGAACAAACCCTACATCACTCACTGGTTGTCCTGGTGGCTCCCTGGTGGGAGTGGTGAAAACTGGAGTGTGTACGCACTGCTCCTCCCATGCTCCCTCTCTCACCCCCTACTCTGTGTTTTGTTGGGGTACAACAGCTCCTGTTCCTGTGGGCCAATCACTTTTTACAGCACACACTCACAGCACACTCCCTTACTCTCTCTCGCTCTCTCTCTCTCTCTCACTCTCCCTTCCTTTGCTGCGCTCCTCTGTCCTGCTGTGTGTCTTCATCCCTTCTTCAGAGCCATCTCAACCCCACTCCCAACTAGGATCTACAAACCAGCTCTTCAAGGTAAGAAACAAACATACCTCCTCTCTTTTACATGCATTTATTTACCTGTGAACAAAACATTAGTTGACACAGGTAAGTTTGTTTCATTGTGTTGTATCTGCTTGGGTGTATGCATCCGTCAGTGTTCAACCACATACCACTCTTTTACCTTTTCCTCACCATGAGGACCAACCCCTACAAGTAGAGGCAACACCATGTGCAAATATGTCTTATTTGATCCCCAGCTCTACTTGTAAGAATAATGTGGGTGTTGTCAGTGTTGAATTTTGCAATGCAAACCCTTGGCTTAGACATGCCGATTCTTCTGGTGGACCCATCACTCTTTTTAAACTAAAGTACTAGCCTTGTTGCATTGTGTACTAAATGAAGAATAAGAGGGTGTTATTGTACATTGGGGGTGGCGGCAGATAGCAGAGTAGTCCACATGTTTTGTTTTTTTTTTCTTTTTGTGTATCCTTAGACCAAGAAAAACAGATTAATGTTGTCTAGTACACTGATAAACCTTCATCAAGTGAAACTGCTTATTATGATATAAAATCATCATATACGACTAAATGCAATTGCAGAGAAATCACTGACATTTGTAAACCTGGACTATCAGCCATCACACGACTGTTAAGTGATGAGTTGACCGAAGACCACCACTGTTGTCGGACACATTAGACATACTTGTTGACATGTCCTCAGGCTGTAATCACACCTTGTCTAGCAGCTTTTACCTGTGTGTTTTCTCAGTGTCTGTGATGTGAAAAGAACAAACATTGCCAATGTTATGTTGCTACAGTCTGCTGACAACAGAGCAGTGAAATATTTATCTTGGGATCTATACAGCTTAAAAGAAGCTTAGAAGTAAGAAGAAGGAGGGAGAGAAAGGGAGATGGAGGATTGTGCTGCTGCTTAGTCTACCAACTGGTAATGACACGTATGACGAGCGCTACCTCATAGCTGCAGACTGACACATGGCTGTAATTACTGTGTCGCATCCATTTACAACCTCACACTGCCGTAGAGACAGCATGATGTGGCAAGTTAAGGGACAGCATGCACTGCTGTGTCATTATTTATATTCATTATTTTCTTTTATGACTCTATAAAGACAGACATGCTATTCTTTCCCTCCTCTTTCTCTGTGAAATGGAATACATTCACTCCTTGCTATTACATAACAAGACATTGCTGGGCTTAGTTGTAGTTTTAAATATAGATTATCTTCACATACAGTGCATACTAATAATAACATGCATAGCTAACGCACTAGGGCATATACAGTGTAGCAAACTAGAATGTTTTAATGAAAAAAATGCACTGAGTTCAAGAGTGTGCGTGCACGCAGTTAGGTACAAAGAGCCATGTCTCGTGTGACAGAGTTTGACCTGTAATTGTAGCCATATTAGCTTCAAAATGACTCAATGAGAAATGCATGTCTTACATAAGAGAAATATTTTCTTTGTCTGTACCACACATGCTGGATCTGGCATGAAACACTGTTTTCTGTCACTGAGTATACATTTGAGACTCAAACAAAGCCGTTTCTGGCACGCCATGTTTATCAACAAGAACAAAATTTGAGTGAAAAACAGTTTATGTGAGGTGAGTATTTTTCCGGTGTGTTCATCTTAACATCATGTGTGTTTGTTCCAAATTTCGTGTTTGCACTGAATGTCTGGCTGTTGCTTCATAGCCATTAAGAAGAGTTGAACACAAATTAAACCTCATGATCCTCAGTGGCAGGTTTCCCTGTCCGTTGGGTTTGTGCAATATTGAAATAGTGCAGCAATCATATATCGGATGCTCTATGCCCATGCACTCTACGGCCCTTCCCGAAAACCTGACTGAAGTTCTGCAAATCAGTGTTTTGTTTTGAATTATGTGGATACATGAATCAGTTCAAGTTTACATAAACAACACGACCTAAACCTTTTGAGATTGTGGGTTATATTTGCTATGATTTCATGAGAGAGCAGCAGCTGTTGAAGAACTGCACTGTTCTGTTAGAACCTAAGGTCCTTCTTGCTGAGTGGCAAGTGGCAAGTGATGTTGCAGGTATTGCACATTGCAAGAAGTGGCAAGCCCTCAAAAGCTGTTAACTCTTTACCTCAGTGGGAACTGACACCTCGTAAAACGCTTAAATCACGCCGTAAATACTCAGCTCACTTTCTTCTTCTTAAAAAAAAAATCCAAAGCTGGGAGAAACTTATACTCTTCTTAACAGATCATAAACACTCTAACAATAAATGCTCACGTCATGGCATTGCTTTGCAACTTTGCCTTAATTCAGTAGGTCAAATATAACCTCATGGGATCAAAGTATCACATTGTTTTTATCAGTATCCAAAGTAAGCACTTTCGTGTGTTTGTTAAAGCTGGTGAGTTTTGCTTAGATCATCAAAACTTTGCATGCTACCAATGTTTTTTTTCCATCTATAATGAAATAAAGAGAACTATTATTGCTTATCATCACTTTTCAAACCTCCACCTGTCATCAATTTGAAAGCTAATATGCTTTTAGTGAGAATCTCACCTCCTTTTTTTAAACCCTCTTCCTTGCCAACAGGAAATGGTTTCCAAACGGAAAACAGGCTACAAATGTCGTATAGCAGGAGTGCTGCTTCTCCTCTTGGCCAGCATTGCTGCCCTTATTGCTGTCGCTGTCATTCAGGACACCTGGAGGTCCGACAGGTACACTTTAGAGGTAAACATATACATGCACATGCACAAATGCCCGTGGATGCAAATATAAATACTTACTATGTGGCTGTAGATCTTAACTTTAACAACGTAAAAGAGTGAGACAGAAACAGGTATACAAACACATGCATCAGCTCCCACACTCTCTCAGTTGTGAGTGTAGTGCCAGACATTCTCCAGATGTCCAGGTCATTGTCAGGAGAAAAGGTTTTCTCATCAGACCATTTGGTGATGGGCCATGTGTGTTTTTTAAAGGGGTAGTTGGGGTCACAGTGGCCTGTCTGTAGTTTAATTCAATCTTTGTAGTCTCAGCTCTTTGTCACATTATCAACAACATTTAGGGCTTTTAGATATTTAACTAATCAAAGTAAGAATTGCAATCTGATAGACCAAATAAAACGTGATCCTTTAACACGATTTTTTCTTCACTCCAGTACGGCATAGTGATAGACTCAGGTTCATCACGTTCCAATGTGTACCTGTACGAGTGGCCAGGGGAGAAGGAGAATGAAACTGGAGTGGTGACTCAGATATTGAACTGTAGAGTTGCTGGTGAGTGATTGTGTCTTCAACAATTGCAGCATTTGTGTGTAAAAGTTCTACACTTTCTAGAATTGAGTCTAAAAAAAAATGCTAAATGAAAATGTAGGAGTAAACTGAAGCACAGGAGATAGTGAAGAGAAAACTTTCAAAGTCAAAGCTTAATGAGCATTTTGAAATACACCATCAGCCTTTATTCATTAGAAATGTTACACAGTAACTCAGGTATTTCACTTTATGCTTTTAGTGTGTGTACTTAAGAATATGATTTAAGCTTGGCCTTGTGCCCACAGGTGCTGGTATCTCAGAGATGAAGGTCGACCCAGAGAAAGATGCCAAATCATGGCAGGGATTCAGAGACTGTATGGTCAATGTCACCAAAGCCATACCTCCTGAAAAACACAAAACCACACCTCTGTTTCTGGGAGCTACTGCTGGAATGAGACTGCTACAGTAAGGAAGTGTTGAAATAAGTTAGCTTTGGGGGCCACCTGAGGCAAGCATGTTTTTTTTTCAATTCTTTGCAATGGGAGCACAGCGTATTTACTCTACGCTACAAGATCTGGCAGCATGACAAGACACTCAGCGTCTACTCTGCACTGAGAACTGCATGTTTGGCGATTTTTTTCTGAGCACAGAGAGTTAAAAAATATTCAGCTTTGAGTAAAATGCTGCACTTGTCACTGTTGCTTTTTACCCAGCAATCCAACACGCTTCAGCCCTCCCTTTATCCAGAGCAATGGCAGGTAGTAATCTACCTTGTGCCAACATTTTTACTTCTGTGGATAGTCTGTAGCATAGCATCAGCTGCAACCAAAGCATCCCAGTTGAAAAAACACTGTGCCTCCAAAGCGCTCCTAAACGCTCCCGGTCTGACATTACACATTAGGAACACTTGGCATTTTAGTGGGAAAAACACTTTGGCGGACATGGTCCCTCAGGTACTCTCTTGCCTTTATTTACAATGTATTGTATTGGAGGATGACGGATAAGAGCAATTTAACCTCGTTCATGCATCACATGGTTTTTCCCAAAGCTCTCTGAGTCACCATGAAGCTACAGCAGTGAACACTTGTTTATACTGCAGGCTGGGGCAAAATTCAAGAGCTCAGATGGTGTAGCAGTGATGTTGGAAAGTCCAAATCTGTGCACCTCTCACAGTTGTCGACAGTTACATGAGATTCTTACTGAGTTTTAAAGTTTTCTTTGTAGAAAAACACACCATTGCACACTTCTAGTGAGTCACATTTGAGAGGGACTGCTTCTGTATCAGTTTATGCATTTTATTTAGGAAAACCCTGCATTGTGTATATTCAATAGATATCTAATATAACAATATCTTTAATAGTATAAAATAGGTCAAATCCCAGCACAGACCTTTCATATGAAATCCCAAGGATGTTATTATTGATGTTGGTATTGTAGCAGATATTTTGGGAAATGTGCTTATTTGCTCCCTTGCTGAGAGTAAAATGAGACGCTCAATACTACTCTTGTATTTGTACAGTCAATATGAAGCCAGAACTTTGAGAGGATTACTTTATCTTATCTTAGCTTAGCATAAAGACTGGGAGCAGGAAATATGTATAGTTGTAGGGACATTCCATCTGCAGCATACATGGCACACCCTTACAAACCGTGGTTGCCAGTAATACAAGACAAGCCCACAGTTATCTGATACCTCCCTACAAAAGATATTGCACTGAACAAATATGAGGCCAAATGTAACAGTTATCTACTTTATATTTTGTAATACATGAAGATTCACATTATAAGTAACAAGATGTAGACTTACCATTAAACTTACCCGAACCATAACCACCTCTCGTTTAAGCTAATACTTCACACCTAGTTAAATGCTTATTCCTTCAGAGCTTCTGCTTCCAGACCAAGAGGTGAAAGGGGCTGATAGTGGGCTGATGTGTAGGTATGGTGGGCGAGTCATGTAGCTGCTACGGCTACAGTTATACCCACTCAGGGAGCAGAAGGGAAACAACTAGCCCGGCTCTGTCCAAAGGTAAAGTGAGTGACAGCAAAGGCATTACATTGATAAGTTAAAACAAATTGCTTATTTCATTGCAAAATCAGCATGCAGCAGCAGAGCTATGCTATATTGAACTGAAGGCAACTACCTTCAGTAAAATGGGGCGCCAAAGTCCCATAAAAGTAAAACCAAACTCTTTCTGTTCTTTCGTCATCTAATGCCACTGACATGGCCTCAATTAAACAAATGATCAAAAAGATGCATGCTATGACAACTATATAGTTACTTTATTAAATTTATGAAAGAATAACAGCTGATTTTTTTAAAACATTAATTAATAATTTAAGATTTAGTGTTCCAAATAGATATGATGCAACACAACAAAACTTACTGCCCTGCTTCCCAGAGCAGCAAAAAGTGAGCAATGGACATAAATGGAAGCTTAAAAAAATCCAGCTCTCTTTGAATTTTAAGAAACCAGGCAATCTGAAACTCTTTTCATTTCAAGGCTCTGCAGCATAATGCAAAGCAGACCACAGGCCTGTTTGAGAGGATTTTCGCCAAAACAATTCCTTCTATAGAAGAGGCTACATTGTGCTTTTGTCCCATTGACGTTTTCAAAATGGCGGCAGTGTTACCACAGCGTCATCTACATGTAGCAGCAGCTGCAGCACCACAGTTTCATCTCTTCGACAATACCCCAAGAAGTCTCTACGTTTTGTTTCTTTGTACGTATTAAACAAACATGATATAACATGTTAATTAGTGAGCTTTAAAGTTGCTGATAGGCTTGAGGATTTTTTTTGGGGCATTTTTTGCTTTTAATGGACAGGACAGTTAAGTGTGAAAGGGGGTGAGAGAGAGGGGATGACATGCAGCAAAGGGCCACAGGCCAGACTCGAACCCAGGCTGCTGCGGCAACAGCCCTGTACATGGGGCGCCTGCCTTACCACCAAGCCACCAACGCCCCGAGGATTTTTGTTGCCTTTGAATATAGCCAGGCTAACTACTTCCTCTCGGCTTCACATGTAGCATACAGAGATAAGAGAAGTATTCATCTGCTTATCTAAATCTCGGCAAGAGAGGATTTCCCAAAATATGAAACTGCTCATTTGATAATCCTGATTTCGTATTTCACTGCTACTGACTGCTCCTTTTCCCAGTACAGTCTGTAATTATGTTCCTTTTCCCGCTTTGCTGTAAGTGAAAAGGATGAACAGAGGTCCAATGAAATCCTGGCAAGTCTGAGAGATTACCTGTCGTCTTTGCCGTTCACCTTCCACAATGCTTCCATCATTACTGGTGAAGAGGAAGGGCTGTATGGGTGGATCACTGTCAATTACCTCATGGGGAACTTCTTAGAGGTAAGACACTGTCAGTGATCTCTCTGGTCCATGTGGGTCAAAGTGTACCTATCCCTTTAAACATACAAAAAAGAAGAAAACAGAATGCTGCTTCACAAACAAGGCCATCGCATGGTTTGTCATACTAACCTCTCCCATTTTCTATGCAGAAAAACATCTGGAACACCTACGTACACCCAGATGGGAAAGAGACTGTAGGGTCCATGGACCTTGGTGGCGCATCAACACAGATTGCCTTTGCTGTCCCAGATGAGCTCAAGGGGCCTGACTACATGCATGTCAAACTGTACGGTTACCCTTATAATGTATACACACACAGTTTCCTCTGCTATGGCAAAAATGAGGCTGAGAAGAGGGTTCTGGACAAAATAGTTCAGGTACATAGTTTTTCATTGTGTCTTTTGCGTGTGTGTGTGTGTGTGTGTGTGTGTGTGTGTGTGTGTGTGTGTGTGTGTGTATCATTAATATTCATATCTTCCAGGTACTGGTTGATACTGGTTGGTTATTTTCTGAGCTCTCTCCCTGTGTAGTATGTGTTTCTATGGTCATGTTTAAAGGTCCAGTGTGTCAGGTTTAGTGGCATCTAGTGGTGAGGATGCAAAACTGAAACTGCCAACGCGAAAATCTATCTAGAGCCAGTGTTTGGTTTGACCACTCTGGGCTACTGTAGAAACAACATGGCAGACTCTGCGGAAGAGGACCCGCTCCTTGTGTAGATATGAACGACTCATTCTAAGATAGCGAAAACAAAAATCAGTTCTTAATTATAATAATTATAAACTAATGAAAATGTAGTTATAAATATGATCTACCAATAGGTGGCCCTTGGTCCTTCACACTAGACCTTTAAGTCTGTGTGTGTGTGTGTGTGTGTGTGGTGCACAAAGCAGTGGAATGTATGTGTTTTTTTTTTTTTGTTGTTGTTTTTTGCATGCATGTGCAGGCCGAAATCCATTAACGCCCAGTTAAGAATTGATTAGTGAACACTCCTATCATTGAGTTGCTAACAGGCAAACGGAGACCAGTCAAGAATGCATTATGTCATTAAGAATATTGATCGCACTGTGTGCTGGTCTGCAAGAAATGCATTATTTCTGGCAGCTTATAGCTTCATTCTTGAAACTAATAGTAATTAAAGCTTGAGAAATATCCGATGCAGTGAGAATGTGTTATGGCTAAAAGTTTGCAGCAGAGTCCTTGTATGAAATATTAACTTTCAAGTCAGTATGTACATCAGCATCTGTATGTGGTAATGTGTTATACATACTGTCCAAACCCTCTTATCTCATCCTCCCATGTCTCTTCCTGCCCCCCTCTTTTTTTATGGTTTTGTTTCCTCCTCATCCTCCATTCCTTCTTTTGACATCCCCTTCTTCTCTTAACGTTCCAGGAATCATCGAACCCATCCTACATTATTAACCCCTGTTTTGCTGAAGGTCACAACCACACCATGAACGCCTCAGCCATTTATGACACAGAGTGCACAAAGAAGCCAAAGAACTACAACCCAGATCAACAGCTCTTCATGGTGGGAGGAGGCGACTCGAAAGGGTGTGAAAGAGTAGTGAAGTCCATATTTGATTTCAAGACTTGCTCCTCATCCCAGTGTTCCTTCAACGGGGTCGAGCAGCCACCTGTCACCGGAGATTTTATGGTAACACACAAATAGAGAACATGCAAGAGGAGAGATGAAATTTAAAAAATATATAAAAAATAAAAAATAAAAAATGTTTCTTCTGTTTCTGCCAGGCATATGCAGGATACTTCTTCATTGCTAGGGCGCTTGGCCTGGAAGGATCATCAGATTTTGATCAATTCAACGCCTCAGTTGAGCAATTCTGTCACACAAACTGGACAGTGGTAAGTTCCTCCAGTTGATATACAGGTATAGTAATAAGAGACAGGAAAAGGTGGCAACAGGAAGGTGGAAAGGGTGAAAAGAGAAGAAAGAGAATTTAGGATGTAGACACAAAGCTGTTATGGGCAACAGTGTGGTGCGGTAAACACTACCACTCATAACAGCCAACCACATTCCACAATAATTTCACTAATCAAGAAAAGAGCAGAAGATTGTGTTGATTGATTTGACACCTCGCTGTCTGAGGTGTGCCAAGCTGTGTGAGAACATTTTCTCTGTGTAATTTAGTGTTGGTGCTCCTGTTTAAACATGATGTCTAAACTGCAACTCAGTGTACTAAACAAACAGATCATCTTTGGTTAGGTTTGTTATTTCAGAATTATCAACTCAATTATTTGGAGATTTAAGAGTAAAGTACTTGAAGAATATTTCTGTCACATAAAAGTTTTATTTGATCTTATCTTGACTGTGAATTAAAAAAATACCCCTTGACAACATACTGTTTTGTCTCAGTCTTAATAATTTGTTATTAGTATTCAGCTACATCATTTGTATCATTCTTCTTCGTGGTTACAGCCCACACACTAATCTCTGTTTCTCCTTCTTTCAGCTGAGGGCAGAGAAGACATGGATCTCTGACAGATACCTTAGGACTTACTGTTTTGCAGCTCACTACGTTTTTGCTTTGCTGGCAGATGGATACAAATTTAACAAAGACACCTGGAAAAACATTAACTTCCAAAAAGAGGTTAGTGAAACTAACACCCCACACGTATAATTTTCAGCAAGATACTCCTTGCACCTACCTGTGTCCTTTGACCAAAGTAATTTGACTGGACAAGAGGCATGAGTGCTGATAAAGGGTGCTTTCACACCTGCCCTGTTTGGTTCGGTTAAATCAAACTGAAGTTCGTTTGGGCAGGTGTAAACGCAGCAATCACACTTGGGTGTGCACCAAAACAACCGGCCTGAGACCTTCTTGAAGAGGTGCTCTCAGTCCGGTTACAAACAAAATCTGGTGCGGTTCATTTGTGTTGAGAACATGTTCCGACCTTGATCTGAACCAACTGTAGTCGCATTACACATTGTTTGGGTTAAACAAGCATGAGCATGTTACAGTCCTGGAGGATTATTAATGTGCACCTCCTCCTGTACTGCCTTAATATGCACATTCAGCACATCCAATGCATCAAAACATTGTTTTCTTGTTGGAGCCGCGCCTCGTTTTCAAACTGAATGGTTTGACTAAAATGAATAATGACAGCAATATAGTACACAATGACCAGCGCTAAAATCAACCCACATACTCCATTGTGACTTTAGAAAGTGTTGCATTTATCTCGCATTTATCTCGCAAGTGTACTCTTCAATGTTTTGTTTACTTCCTGGATTTTTCCCACATGGAAATTCTGACTAATCAAGAGCAGCTTTTTCCACACAGGCATTTGATCTAGTCCGCTTGCAAATGCTGGCGTGAGAACAAGAACCAACTCTAGGCAATTATGCAACTTTGTAACAAAATGAGTCCCTGATTCAGACCAAAGCAAGTGAACTAGAGGTCTGAAAGCACACATAGAGAAGCCTCCAACAGCAATGGTACTTTAAGCGATGCATGTATCACTCTGCTTTAAAGGTGTTCCAAACCGTTCATTCCATTAACCATCAATTATCCATTAACAATAACAGTTGCATAACAACTATTACACTCCACAGATGAACAAGTAAGGTTGTCAGAAGAGGATGAAGGGATGAAAGAAGCCTGGACAATTCGCTGCAAACCTCCAGGCAGTAGGCAATTTGAGGGGGGACAAGGGGGGACAACATCAGAATCTATGCACTCTGATAAGCATTAAAACTTGAGTCAGTGAGTGAGAAACATGCAAAGGGGAGAGACGAGACGAGTGACAAGAGGTGGAAAAATAAGTGAGTCAGAGAAGAAAAACCTGAACCAAAAGAGTTATTAATGGGGCAGTTCCCTAGTTGTGGTTGAACAAAACAAAGCAGGTTCATCCACTGTCAAAAATGGACATACCACCTACTGCCTCCAGTTGTGCTCAAATGACATCTGCCGATGTCGCAACAGTACCGTCTGAACGAGCTGTTCACTCATCAAAAGAGTCCTGACAGCCACTTTGACTGTCAGGACTCTTGTTTCACTGGTGCGCAATAAATAAAAATATACAGATACATGTAAATGATACAAAGTAGCTGGCCTACGGTAACGTGTAGTTCTGAACAAAGCAGCAGGCTAGTGGACAGGATGTTTATGTGTTGTTTAGCAACAGGCTAGTCCCAGTGCGGTTGAGGAACTATTTGTGTTGGCAAAACCAAATAAATGATTAAATAAACAAAACAAACCATAACTTGTTGTTGCCTTACAATGTTAACTAATAAATGACGCTTGTAGAACTATTGTATAAATGCATTATCACTAAAGCGGGAGTGCTGTCGTACTGAATATCAGCACAGCTGTGATTCAGTCATAGGCACAAGGCTGCAAGCCAAATGTTGAAGATAATCCCAGATGATATTAAGATAATGCTTGAATGAAGCCAACATACTTACTGTTTTTTGTTCTCTCTATGGCAATCTGATGAGTGCTAAGGAGAACAGTCCTTCATGTTCAGACAGAGGCGTTTAACATTTACAAGTTCGAATGAGGCCACCCATGGGGACTCGTCAAAGATGGATGGATGGCTGACATACCAATGATTTGCATTCAAAAAGTAGAGGCCAGAGTGAAAGGCAGGCAATGTATCGCTCCGGGACACCCTAAGGACACGGAACGCCTTCCACAATGGAACTCCCTCAACGGAGGGGGATTCCTGGTCTGTGACACTCAGTCCATCAGTCATGAGTCATAAAGAAAGACGCTATTAAAAAGTCACACATTACAGCCACAGTTTCCTAATTGCACGGCAGTTACCCTTTAGACTTGATCACAAGAACTCAACATCTGGCAATGTTCCTGATTTCCAATCCTGCCAACAAGTGAGACAGTGTGCTGTGTGCACTGTTAGTGTCTTTGGGGTGTCTGGAAGTTACAAACCAGACACACTTGATGGTGGTTTCTTGGGTATTATGACTCATCTTTTGCCCTAAAGCTGTTATTCTGCAACTTCATGACAGGACTGTTACATTTTCTCAACTTCTCTAGACATGCAAAGTGATGTATTGGCAACTACTGAGAGAAATTACTGTGTCCAGCATGCAAATTCACATGGAAACCCCTTCTTGTCTCCTCTCTTCAGGTACAGAAGACCAGCATAGGTTGGAGTTTGGGCTACATGTTGAAAATGTCCAACATGATCCCGTCTGAAGTGAAAGAAATCCCCCCCATGACGGACCCCGTCTTTGCCGGCCTTATCTTTCTATTTTCAGCACTAACCATCATAACTGTTGTCTTAATTTTCATCATCCTCATTCGCACCTGCTACTGAGAGTGTAAGTTACAAAGGGAATGGCCTGCCATTGTAAGCCACGGGGGCTGTCGGAATCCTGTTAATAGTGGGAGAGCACTGTAGCAGCATGTGCCAAGGCACTTGTACTTAAAGTTACTAATGAAAATGTTTGTTTTTTTTAAGCTTGAGCCATTTACTGCCTTCTGTTTCAATTATGAGAGTGACTGAAGTAAGAGCATCAAAATGAAATTCTCTCACCGTGTGTTCTGCTGGTGACTTTTCAGCATTGAGTATTAATAACATTTTTTTTATTTCATACCTCAGGGAAACTCACGTAGATTTAGGTAACGGGAATTTTTTATATTCACTTTTTCAAGCTCTTCTAAAGGAAAATATTGTTTTACAGCCAAAAACAGGTGACAGTAGTTTACCTGAATGCCGCACAGATGATGTAAAAGCACCTAAAAATGTCTTGAAATGAGGTCACATATACATTCACACTGCGTGGTCACAGACACGCATGATATATAGGAGGAAAAATAATAATTGATCTGCTTTACATAGAAAACTGTAGCACTTTGCCACACTTTACGTTATTGTAGTGTTTTATATAAAATACTATAACTATAGTTATAGTTATAGTGTATGTGTATATATATATATATATATATATATATATATAATATATATCAATCATACGGTGTATAAACTTATTGAAAACCAGAAGTACACAACAATACTCCACACTTACTGAATGAAAACCTCCCTTATAAAAATGTATTGATTTTGCTATGTGCCATTGTTTCATTATGATTTTGCAAAAATAAATACATCTTATATTAAGTCATTTTCTTACAATCTTTTTGCAAACAATTAAAAAGAAGATATGTTTAATTGTCTGAGTTTGGGACAACAGCTAACTGATCACTGAATATTAGTAAGTGTTACAACAGTGTGTTTTTCTTGCATTTTATACATCATATTAAGAAACAAACCTTGTGTTGCTCCATTCCCAGGAAGGTTTTCATTCTGTATTCAAAGAGCAGAGTATTGTTGGATAAATGTTAGATATATAGATACATATTTATAAATAGTAGTCTGAGCCTGGTGTAGTTTGAGAACACTGCACCAGAGAGTTAAATATAGTGTTGTGGATAAGTCCTGTCAACGCTGAAGATCCTCACGTTCTTCAGTCTTCAGTTTATTCTACACTCGGTGTTTTTATATATCATGAAAGATTGTGTCCATATGAAGCCTTTGATGAGAGATTTATTTCAATCAGCAGAGACTTTACAGATGTTTACAGATATAAAACATGGATGACAAAATGTCTGTTTGAGTTTTTTGGTGTTAACTCCATTTGGTCAGTTTGGGAGATGAGCCCCGATCAGTCAGCAACAGAACCCAGAGAGCAAGTGGTGTAGTGGGGGGTATATGAAGGCATATCCACCTCTTTTTGTGGTCATTTACAGCAGTGGTTTCCAACTGGTCCAACCAAGGGGTCCAGATTTCACCTTAATCATTAGTTCAAGGTCCCACAGTTTAATAGATTCAGTGTTACACTTGTATTTGGCCGTGCGTTGAGCTAGATTGCTGTCTCTACCAAGTTGACATCATTGCGAGTCACCTGTTCCATTCAGAATGGGTCCGTACCACTTTTGGACCGCGACCCACCAGTTGGGATCCACTTGTTTACAGTATACCCACCTATCAACAAGCCTGATCTCACTCAGAAGTCGTCGAAATCCGGCACTTGGGCAGTGACTTGCAGCATCAGAAACAAACAAAAAAAGGCATCTTATAACGTCAGCATGATACGTGGGCGGTTGCCGTTATATTAATGCCATAGAACAAGGATGAAAGTCCAACTGGGGCGAGTCCAAAAAACACAGATTTTTACCCAAGAGAGCGGTGTTCGTCTCCCGCAAGATTCTAAAGCCAAACCTTGTTCCTTTTTCCTAAACCTACCCATGTGTGTTTGTTGTTGAAGGAAAAAAAAAAAAGTCAATTCGCTGTGTTGTACCGACGTGGTGCGTTTATTTTGAAAAACACTGTATGTAAACGTTAAATTTCTCATCAACTACCACTACACCACTGCCTGTGACTGTTCCCAACACTGGGTCTAGACAGAAGAGGCACAGCTGAGAGGGAGCAATGAATCTGACAGAGCATCTGAGCTATGACACACTTGATAAGTACATCCAAGGCGTTTAATCTGTAGGCGACCACAAAGTATGAGAAAATAAGAATTATTTCCCATTAGTGATGAATCAGTCTTCTTGACATAAAGGCATTATGAAACATTAAATTCTATGACGAAAGAAAGAGATTTCCTCATCAAACATCATCTCTGACTGCAAACAGCATGAATTAAATGTGTGTGTTTCTTTTTACACTGTGTATGCGTCAAGATCTACTTGGGTAGCATTTTCGTTAAAATTGTTGTCTTTGCACTGGAGAGGATTCTGCATGATGTAATGCACTGACTGTATTGGTCCTGTTTTGATAATACTTCTCTCTCTGTTCATATATATATAATAAACACATCTACTAACTGCACCTTGAGACTGCTGCATGAGATTTAAGCCTCTGTGCTGCACCATTAGTTAACCTTATTGATTTTACTTGAGCTCAGCATGTTATTTCATTTAATACCAAACACTGGTGGCTCCTTCTTCAAATCTAATTTATTAATTAACAGGGGATATGTTAAAGTACCACCACACCTGTTTAAATCTAAATGCCTCTGTTTTATCTGTGTCAACTGAGCAACTGTAAATTCTCCGGAGACTTGTTAAAATCACACACACACACACACACACACACACACACACACACACACACACACACATGCACACACACACGGAAGCAGCTCTTCCTCCAATAACCGCTCATCCCCTCACTCGTATGGTGTACAAGAGCGCACTCTTGTGGCACTGCGCTCTACCTGCAGACAAGATGAGCACCGACTGTTTGAAACATTTCTTTTTTTTTTATTGAAAGATTTGTCTAAAAAGAAAACAAAAAGAAAAGAGACATTTTGAAACTACAGCAATATCCACTGGTTCTACAGACACTCTCAGAATCACAATTTGAAAGACATGGGAGGCATGTGACCAAGCAAATAAAAAAATAGCATCATCAAAGTTATTTCTGTTGCATCTTCTTTTACACACCTGTACAAAAAACAGATCTCATAAATATTCTTTTTGTTCTTGCTTACTCTACTTTCTCTCTTCTTTCAAATAATTTATTTTTTTTCCCATAGAGGTTTGTATCTGCTTGATTTTGGTTGAACCACGCTTTTTCTGTGTGTCCGTCTGTTCCTCACGTCTCCATTAGCTTCTTTTCATTGGTGAAGGCGGGTCAGGTAGGTGGGGCTTCAAGGGTGTGACCTCTGGGCCAGTGTCAGCAAGTTAAAGTCTGTTAGTGTTTTTGTTCTCAACTGATGCCCTTTTACTACACTTACAATAGTGCAGATTCCTATTTGTTGATTTCACCTATTGAAGACGAGAGTATTTCAGTGTGTTTTTTCGAGGGCTGCACGCAGGAACATGTCTGTTCTCTCAAGACTTGTGGGAAGTTTTTACGCACCCAAGTCATGGATAACAATTAACTGTTGTGATCTTGGCTTCAAATTGCTGGAGGTGTACCTCGTCCACACCCACCCAACACAAGCCTGCCTCAGTCCCCAATAATGAAAAGTGTTTAGCAGCTCACACATCATAATCAATTTTTAAAAAAGACAAAAAAAAAAGGCAACACATAAAGAAAAACAAAACATCTCTCCTCGTCCTCGTAGAATATACAGAAGCTGAAATGATTTTGTTTAACAGAAATGCCCTTTCCTCTAAGAGAGATCATCGCTTGCTCACATTTTAAATGGCTTGTGTTTGGCAAGACAGCGGCGTAAAACAGTTTGTCTTATGGACTGAGACTATGCGTTTCAAAATGAGAACATTTAAGCTGTTGTGATGAGGATTTCAGATTGGTCAACGCAGCCTGAAGAAGGTGGAGTACACACCAATTTTCCACAGGACATAATGCGTTTTCAGCCTCTTTATCACCAAACTGAGCATACCAACTTCCCAATAACATACCTACCTCCTCCACTCTCTCCATATCACACAGGGTGTCTGGTCTCTCAACAGATGTTACAGCGCCACTACAGATCATCACCGCGTTTGATCACATGACAAACAAAACATCTCAGAGCACACTCTTCTGGTTGAGGCAGTTGTGTTAAAGACCTACTGCATGTCCTCAGTCACTGATAAAGTCATCTCGCACGCCAGCAGCATGACAAGCAAGAAACATCTCAGTTTCAGAGGTGAGAAAAAATCAAGAAAAAGCAACATAAGGAAGATCTCTTCACTACCTAGTTTCTTCATCTTTGGTATAAAATATGCCACCTGCTGGCTGCTTTTGTTCAACGGTTAAGAAAGACTCAAGAAACTGTCAACAGTTTTACTAAAACTATTGCTTTTTGCACATTTAAAAATCCTAGCGTTTTTTTTTTCTGCTTTTCTCAAAGTCAGAAATGTTCCTTTTTTTTTACTTTTCTTTTTTTTGCAGTGAGACAAGCAAAGCAGGCAAAGCAAAAACCTTTTGAAGGTAAAAAGACTGCAATCGAAAAACAAACAAACAAAAAATACAAATGTGATGAAGAAACATAACTTTTTATCCCATGGTTAAACTTAACTGCATTTTCCAGGAAGCAGTGGATTGACCCTTCCCGCATTAAAGAAGATTTTTTTTTTCTTACCATCCAACATCAGCTGCACTGCACCACATAATTTAAAATCATCTTCATACAATTACAACCTTATTTTTTTTCTTAAATCCTGTACAAATAGCTTTGTAGATTTCATCACAGAACTTTCCAAGAAGCTCTCAAATCATTCAACCACTCTTTTTTTTTTTAATAATTCAACACTATGGAAACTTTTTTTCCCAAAGTTTGAGAAAATTAAGGCAATAAAGATTTACGAAAACATTGATATTCTAGAAAACTACTCAAATAATAAAAAGAATGAAAATAATGTAGCTTAATATCAAAGGAAGACAACCTGTTTTTTTTCTCTAGACTTTGCTTCCTTCCTTTTTTTAATAAAAAAAGTCTGAAAATCTACCTGCACATTCAAATGTTCTTTTTTTCTGTACAGCTTGTTGGTTGAGTTTAGATTTCAGTCGATGTCTTCTCTTTTTCCTTTGGAGGCAAAGTCCAGTCTCACAGTGAGAAATGATAAACTCAAAGTTGCAGACTGCATTTGAATTCATTGTCCTCAAGTTCAGCAAACCAGCGTTTCTTTTTTTTCCTCCTCTGTCTTTTTGTTGGTTCAACCAGGTAAGAAATATAATTGATTTTTTTTTTCATTTTGTCTTTTATTTGGTGCCTGTGCACAGTGGAAGCATTCTCCCCTCAGTGTTGCCCATGTCACCTCTTTTTTTGTCCTTGTTTCATTTTGATTCCCTCCATGTCTCCAGCGCCTCAGTGCAGTCCTTCTAAAGGCAATGCAGCAATGATTCCTACCAATCTTGTTATCTAAAGGAGACAGAAAAACAAGTCAGTGAAAAAAAAAAGGTTACTGAGGAAACTGTGGACAATGTTACCGTTCCTACAACACTCTTTGTCTGACCGCTGTGTGTGCAAAAAAAGCACCCACAGGTTATCTATAGGAGGCAGAAAAACAAGACAAATAAACACTGGGAGCAGAAGAAATGTGTTCTACAAGCAAAGGTTGACATGATTCTGTGACCAAAACAACACGGCGATTGACTTCACTACACTGTAGTCTTCTGTAGCTAAATATATACACATTATTCAACTTGATTTATTTAACTTGCAAATTACAACCTTAGCGAACACTGCTGTAGAACATTTCGAGACTGTAGGAAGGAGACAGTTTAATGTGCTCTTCCAACAATGCTATTTCCATGCTATTTCCCTCTCTCTGCCCGGTCTATTCCATGCACATACACTAAATTAAACGTCTTTAAAGGGGACCCATTATGCTTGTCTATGTTTTGTGTCTTATACATAACATTGCAATGAAGAATGTTTCTATTAAACATGGCCAAAGTTTCAAATGATGAGATATGTAGAAGTAATCCCTGTGAGCAAATACCTCAGGTTTTCTACCATTAGCCCCTTTTCCACCACAAGAACTTTTCTCATGTACCCGGGATTTTGAAAAACCTCTGAGCATTTCCACCAAAATTACCCGGGTAAAAAAACTTTCCCTCAACCCCAAACTTTCCCTGAAAAAAGTACCTAGTAGAGGGGTAGGACTTTTTAGATTACCCGGAATTCTTGAGGGGCGGGGCTGTGTGCTGAAGAACACTGATTGGTGGAACACACACTTGCAGCGTTCCGCACTTCCTGGCACGGGCAGCCGCTGCAAACTTTATTTCATTTCTACAAGCTTCACTTTGTTTGTGTTTTGATGAAGGATGGGTACAGAAACCTGGTACTAAATGATCAAAGACCGTAGTATTGATAAGCGCCAGTGGTATCAGTTCTTTTGTGCCGGCGCTGAACTGGCGAGCGGCCGCGGTGGAAACGAAGTGAAGATAACTCGAAAATGACTTGAGGTGACGGCAGCTACACTCGTTACTGTAAGTGACATTAACCCTTAGCGGGTAAGAAGCCAATAATTTATCATTACATGTGTTCAGCAGCATGAACATGTAAACACGTAGACAGTGATATTCAATATGCTCCGTCCACAGTCTCTCATCCACCGACACTAACCCTATGTCATACACAAGGACAGCACACTTGTTCAATCAAATGGCAGCTGTTTGTAGACTAACTTAGTTTGACACTTATCTTAAAATACTTATAAACTTAGCTGCTGGCTGAGACAAACAGCCCCAACTCTTCCTATCAGCACTATGTTACCATGTTACCAGCCAATAAGCTCGCAGAGCCAAACACAGGGCACATGCTGAATCATCTACGTCATCACGCTAATTTGAATACATTTTCCGGAACTTTGAGGTGCAGTGGAAACACAAACCACACAGATTACCAGGAATTCTTTTTTCATGGCATCATATCGTGTCATAACACTGGGCTACAACACATGCACAGTGAAATCTGGTCTGCACCTGCCAAAAGACTTAATAGCTGGTGCAGTATTATCGAACATGGGGATGACTGATTAGTTTCCCTCATGCTTCCGTAGTTGGCCTTGAGTTGGAATTTATTTTATATGAGAAATAAAGACATAAGTGGGAATTACAATTCTGTATTATTGAAAAGGTCCTTAATAACAGACCATAACCAAGTGCTTTCTATATGAAAACTTTCCATTGTATATCAGCCCATTTAAGCTTACCCATAAGCTGGTTATTTTAGCTTAGCATAAAGACTAGAAGCAGGAGGAAACTGCTCACCTGGCCCTGAGAATAAAAAGATTACCAACACAATTACCACCTCACTGATTAACATATTATATCTTGTTGGTTTAATCTGTACAAAAGCAAATGTGTGGTTTTATTGGGGTATATGTGCTGGTCTATTACTGAGCTGTGCATAGTGAATTCCTAAAGTATGTAATTCTTCAAGCCTTAATGTGAAAATGAAAACTGAGACTGATACTACATTACCACAAAAGTGGAAAAATAATCAAATTATTGTAGTGCATGTAAGTTCAAGTGCCAAATTACAAGTTATAAATCTGTTCAAATTCATTTCCTCTATGAAAAAACTGAGGATTCTGAAACAGAGTCTCTTGAAGTTGTGTGTTGAATGAAGGTGCTGTGTATTTGTCCTAATAAATCTTCCTGTAAGAAATATTAATGGCATTTCTAAGTTATCAATGCAGTGCTGCCAACAATGGCATCCAGTTTCAACAGAAGTGTCACGACTCTTTTCATAAAATTCAAACTAATGGAAAAAAAACCTTGACCGTGCAACTCAGAAGTATTACAGCAATAACATCACATCTCTGGACCAGCTGCACAGGCAGTTTACAATACAAAGACAGACATCTATTCACAACACTCACTTAGACTGCTGGTAAGAGTAGGCTGTGGCATGATCTCCTGTATTCTCCACTGATAAGGGCTGCTGCCCACTGGCGTCCTGGGAAGAGGGGGCGGCTGTCTGTGGAGATGGGTCTGTCACCACGCCCTGACCCCAGAAACAAGTCATATATGAAACTCGTCCAGTTAGAATGTTTATATTCAACCTTAGCCAAGTGAGTTTACTGAGAACATCCAAACAGTTCAGCAATGACAAAAAAAAAGAAAAAAAAATCACTTCATATTGAATTAAAACGATCATTCAGCAGATCCAATCTAATTTATGAAGCTCATTTTAAGAACTGAATAACAGTTCCTCAGACCTTTGGCAATATAGCACATAGATATTATCCACGCATTTCAAATGCTGCTACTTGATTAAATGACTGTTATTAGTGGTTATCAGCCTCATAGATATGGGTTAGCAGGGTCCTGCTACACCAACTAGTAGGCTGAGAATGCTGTAATCAGCCCATTAAATGCCCACTGCCATCAAGTGTAGCTTTGTTTGCTTTCACTTTCACCAGGTTTGATTAAGAAAAAAATCCTCAACGGTTTGGCGTGAAATAAGTGTGCTCGTTACTAATGTAATGCTACCTAACACATGTCAGATTACGTAGTTAAAATAACTCTATGTTGACTCCTGGTGTCACATGGGACACAAACCCTAGTCTCCTGGTAAAAGCCTTTTATTTATTTGACCCATCCACCATCCCACTACCTACTGTGAAACTTCAATTAAAAGCCTAGTCCCAATAAAGGCCTAAATAAAGGCCTGTCTCAATTAGATGCCTGGTCTGGTCACCAAGCAGTTCATTTTTATAGAAGTTCTTTGGATGTATAAAACCAGATTGTTGATACCCACTCCAACTAACATTAGTTAGCTGTTTAGATCTCACATACAAATATAAATGATTAAACTTTTGTCAATATGGAGATGCTACATATTGTTTGCTCTGTTCATGTCAGTTTACTAAAACCAAGAGCACCAGAGAAGACTGTAATTCATTCATATCTACCAGCATAATGAAAAAACAAGTGGTGACTCCCTTCCTCTGAAGCTGTCATAAAGTCAGAATATGTATCCCAGGAAGTTATTTACATTTCTTGAGTGAAAATTAATCCAAGTTATGAATATGGTTTTAGCATGATACAGTGGTGTTGTGCTGGTATGTTGGGTGCCCTAAAACAAGTATCATAACATAGCACATAATTGATATCTTATTTGAAGCCTAAATTTAATTCAAATAATATTCATATTGGTTAAATTAAGAATTTGACTATATTTCCCTTCTTTGCTGAGCAACATTTTTGTGTAACAGGAATGAAAGGCCTGTCCCATATGGACGCCTGTTAAGTACAGTGATTTGAGCAAATAATAGCCTGGGCTACTAATTGAAGTTTTATGGTATGTGGACTTCTTCGCTCTTTATACTAATTTTATTTCACCTGACTTCCTCTATCACTACATGATGATAAAGGTGGCCATTTAATAGGGGGATCACGGCATTCTGAACCTACTAGTTGCTGTAGCAGACCCCTTGTTACTAATAACTATGAGGCTGGCTGATAATCACTAATAATGCCCCATTTAATCTACTGATAACATTCAAACTGGGTTTATTATCAAGGCTTCGCTCAGTGACAATAAATAAGTGACTGACACTGAGGTCTCACATATTGTCTACAAATGCTTTGTTTTGATTTCCTGACAGCATGGCCATCATAAACTACTGCTGCATTTAATAGCATCCAAATTATCTTACAGTTGCAATATGAGAGAATTATATGTGAATTATAGTGAATATAATTCAGCCCTGTGCAGCCCTATATAGGCCGCTGTATGAACTTAGTGTAATTAGTAACTATAATAAAGTCCATAAACAACTTCTTTTTGTCCTTACTTCCACTGTGATGGCAGAGGCAGGCACTGCAGTGTACTGGGGAATGTAGGTTCCTTGCATAGGAGCAGCCGCTGCAGCAGGCATGTACTGCAGAGAGAAGGAGGGGCACAGACAGTATTATAATATAGGCACAAACAATATGTCCTCTAGAAGCTCTGGATTAAAAGTACTGTCTGACATTCCCGCTGAGACTTGTGGTTTTGTGACATTTCACAATACATTACATAATAGTTTGGCTTGGTCCCAGGGTCATCGCCAACATTTCAGTAAACAGAAAAAGGCAATTTCCATGTGTGTGGCTTTGTGGTTTCTGCTGTGAGATGATTTTAATTATAGCTGATCATGGAACTCTCTACTAATTAACTATATTGAATAAACTGCAACTCCAAAGACACACACTCACACACACACTCATGGGTGCAGTACAAGGTGGTTTGGAGGAGGTAAAAGCAGAGACTCACGGTGCCTGTGGTGCCCAGAGACAGGTGGTTCATCTGCTGGGTGAGAGGAGCCATTACACCGGAGGGGTGAAGAGACAAACTGGGCTCGATGGCCGTCGCTGGGGTGATCACAGCACCCTGAGGCAAGAAGGAAGAACACATGACCGGCCGAGTTATAGACATTGTTGTACAAGGTGAAAAACTGCTATATCCAGTCATTGAGCGTTATATGACAAGCAAACGACGGGATCAATGACACAAATCAAGAACACTGTTTATGAAGTCTGGCCTAACTAAAACAGTTTTATTGTACATATTTTATTATTTCTGTTATGTTTTTTTTTTTTTTTTTTTTTCCCCTAATCAAAATCAAATCAGGTTTATTGTCATTTTCCTTTTTCAGATTATAATGACTACTTTGAGTTCAGCGTTTGGGGTGCTTACTTGAACAATTAGCATGTGACAAACATAATATATGACTCTCTGTCATCTCCTAGCTAACTCCTTAGCCTGTCACCCTGAACCACACTGAGCCCACCTTATGACATCATCACAGATCAAATGACAAACTGATTACATTACACCACACAAGGCAGAATGAGAAAGTGTTTCTCTGGGATCAAGGTGCAACATACATAACGCTATATACAAAAACACAAACATCTAAGGCTTGAACGTACATTCTGCACTGAATGTTCACGGACAGCTGCCGTCAACCGGATGGGCAACTGATTACTATCAGTTGCCCATCCGGTTGCCCATCCAACTGAGGGCCTGCATCAGCCCCCAGCAACTGGAGAGCTGAGAGCTACTCATCTTCTATTGCCAACATCGATGAAACTGAAACAGTCACAAAAAGATGGGTTATACACAGACCCTTGCGGACATGTGAGGATAATGTGGATACTTGAACGCGAGAGGTATGAATTGGCCTTTACACAGCCCAATACAGTCCCTGAGCCTGTATACTACAATGTATGGAGTGCAAGTTGACATAGTTAAAACAAAACAGCAACAGTAGTGTCAGGTCAAACTGGAATAAACTAAAGGACTGAACAGTAACTAAAAGACAAGCAAAGCCGAGGAATCCACTTCCACAATAAACCAGAAGGAGGAACCTTTTGCACCATCGCCCAGTTACTGCCCGGGCCATAAAAGGCGGCGCACATCGTCACAGGTAAAGAGCGAACAAAGGTACACAGACAGACCTCATCCTTCGCATCCTGCGGTGAGCCAATGCAGAGTGAGAGCATCTAAAACACCAGAGAGGCAGCCGGTAAGACGCTGAACTGTTTAATGAAGAGACTTTTGCACGGAGGTAGTTAATTTTGATTAATTGGTTGTGCTAACGCTAGCTTAGCCACGGGGTCGGATGCCCAGTAACGCATGGCTTGGTAACTGATTGTCTGTGTGCGCTGATTGCTTGTTAATCTCCCTCCTGACATTTGAAATGTGTTAAAAATGTAATGTGTAAATTGTAAATTTAAATTGGTATGTGTTGAGCACATCTTAAAAGTATTTCACTTTGACATTTAGTGAATTATGAATGAATGTTGATTATATTGGGTGTATCACAGAAGTAATTAGTAGTAGATTGGGAGAGCAATTTGAATATAACATGATTTGAAACATTTCATATCTACAGTTTCAATTCAAGCATTTATACTCATACATACTTTTAATTGTAAGCATTTTTGCAATTGTGAAAGTGTAATTTTGGAATTTCACTTTAATAAAATTTGACCATAAAATTAAAGGTTAAGAAGTAATTCATGTTAAAATACATTTAATGGTAAAATACAGAAATTGAGACAATTTAAGTTAAAACACATTAAAATATACATTTAAAACAACAATAAATATTTAAAAAGTAGTGAAATTCATACTTGCTTGAAACTATGCTAAAACCATTTACAGCAGTGGGTAACTTTATTTGCACTTGATTTGTAATTTAATGTAAATATAATTGGGTTTCACAATATTTAAGTGTTTATTTTCTGGTATTTTGTATACTTATTTTCTGTTGGTGATTTGCAATAGCATTTGCATTGTGTATGGACTTTAAACTTTTTCTCTGTTTTTGTGTTTCTTTGATTGAAAGGTTTTTCACCTACACATGACAAATGGCATAAAATGCTTGCACCTGAAAAATAAATAAAATAAAATAAAATAAAATGTATAAATGTATATATATATATATATATATATATATATATTTTCCAAATAAAGTGTTCGCTGTATGCACCAAAGACAAGACAAATTCATTTTATAAGAAAACCGTCTCGGCAATAAACCTTATCCTGACTCTTAAATATTTAAACCATGAGGTGGTATATGAAGGGATGGCAAAAAAGAGCAAGAGGGCAAATATGCATACTTCCAAAGTGTAGAAATATTCCTTTAAATCAAATCAAAAGCAACATACAAACTAACAAGATAGACAGTTAAAAACAAACTAGATAACATGAATTATCACAGCAAAATATGCCACCTGATGTGTGTACTACAATGGGGAAAAGTGTGCTTTTTATGCCTCTCAGTTAAACAGGCGCTTTCTAAGACATGCAGCTGGTAGAAATACATTAGTAAAAAAAAGACTTCCAACCCAGTTAAGTTTGATGACTGCAAACCATTTGACGGCAATGCAGCCAGTCAGCCAGCTTGCCAGACGAGGCTTGACAGAACATGCGTCTGAATGGAGCAGAAAGGCTTTTACTGTAAATCTCTTCAATGTGAAGGGCTTTGATGCCTGCTAACACCTTGATGCGCTGAGCTCTACTTTTCCAGTGCAGCTCAGCTACAGACTCAACAGCTCTGTATAGGTTTAATAGGAGAAGCCTCAACACTGTGTGCTGAAGATGCCTGGCAACGTCCCTGCAGAGGTAAACACTGTTCATTTGTGATAGCTGTTTAAACTGCACTTCCCATGAGCACTGACGGCATCAGTGGACATGTGTCAGCACCGCTCCAGAAAGCAGTCAGCACTTCTGTAGCTGCATGTTGAGACAGGATGTTAGAAGAACACAGGTATTAAATTTAGGTATTTTAGGCACCGGTCCAGCTTACGGCAGTCGTCTTAACGGCTCTGTCTCTGTATTGTTTCACACGAGGGCTCGCAACAACACAAGCACAAATAGGTAAACACACACACGGTGATAAAAGTTCTGGCTGTGTGAAGCGTTCTGTCTCAGAAGTGTATACGGTCTTTCAGAGTTGCTCACAGTTGCAAATCGGTATGTGAAGATCCTTATTCCTGAAAGAAACACACACGCACACACACACACACACACACACACACACACACACGCACACACACACTACAGACAGGGATTGGTGAGTGCTCTTCCTTCTGACTGCTGTCTTCATAGGGAGATCTGTTTGAGGAACACAGCCGCCTGACTACCAGAAATGCTACGTCAACACTGTCCTCAACATCACAAGTGAATGAGTGGCACTTTTCCCGCACACACACACACACGCACACGCACACACACATACACACACACACACACACACGCTCCCACTTACACACACAGAGAAGCATCCACACACAGATGCATCAACAGATCTACCCACAAACAGGCAAGAAGCTTTGGCAGAAGCAGGTAGATTTAGCAGCCAGAATCTAGCTAATACCCAAGCTTCTCATCCATCTATATAATACGTTCTCTCGTTTAATGATTTCTCATCCTCCCTCGCTCTTTCTCTCACTTCATCCAATCTTGCAGCAGGCCTCCACGCAGAGAGAAAGCTGCATAAAGCAAAAAAAGAAACCCACAATGACTAATTGTCTGCTCTGATTTACAGCTGTACAAGTGTTAAACTTGCTATCTCCGTGTGTCTGCACACAGACACTATGCATTACCCGGTGTGTGATGAGTGCGTAATTATACGTGGTAGAGCATGTGTTATGTGTTAATGTTTTCATGTATCAGACATTATTTTTCTTCCTGGGGTAAGCAATAAATGAGCACGCAAGACAGACAGTTATCTTTTCCCCCTGAGGGCAGGAGAGAGAAAAATACAAGATCTGCTTCAACTTTGAACTCCCTCCTCTCTTCCTCTCCTCCCTTCTTCTCTTGCTGTCATTTTTCCAGTAGACAAGTGAAGCTGACTAGCAGAATGCTGCAGGCACTGTGCAGCATCAAATACACAGTATTAGTGATAATGACGCCCGTTTATTGAGAAAACAGCTAACTGCTGCTGGTGTGTGTGTGTGCGCATGCAAAAGGATGTGAACAGGCGTTATTTGTTCTCTCTAAGGTGGTGCAGTCTGAAAAGCAGATGTTTGTATTATTTGACAAAATGATTTTTCATGCTGCAACTACACCCTCATTTAAATCAAACAAGATTTTACCACATAAAGCAAAAAGTCAGGTTTTACTGGGTTGCAAACTCCAGACAAGCCCCCACATGTATGCATGGGCTCTGCACACTGCACCCAAAGGATCCCAGCATAAAAAAACAGGAAACAAACCAAGTATTGTGCACTATATTTGCAGGCTCAGATATGTAGTGATGTGTGCTTTCTTCCAACACATTCTTCGCCCCCTTTGTCTGCCCAAATGGGTTTAACACAGCAATTTAACTCAGGAAGATCTGAAATCCCAATTCTTTGGATGTCTCATTACAGCGCTCCCCAATAAGCCGCCTTTCCTTCTCTTTCTTGCCATGCATGGTTAGGGTAATGCATTCATTTCCTGTAGGGGGATTTGTGAGTAATTATGCACAAAGACATCCTCTCACTAATTAAGATGTAAAGACAGGGAGTTCAAGTAATCTGGGCATTCCACCAAGGCTCGGAAACACACAGTCCTTAAGGCACTTCACAGTGTGTATAGGTATGCGTGCATCTGAATTAATTTCAGAGCGCATACCTATGTCTGTGTCTGTGTGTAAACGCAGTGGTGGGGTGCATGTATGTGTGCCTTCTTTATTCCTGGGAACTGGCACTGTTTTTAATTCCCTTTAACCTTTTAATTAGATGCATTCATTTCTTTAATAAGTGTGTGTCTACAATGTGTCAGTGAAAGTATTTTGAATTTGTCGGTGATACCGATAGCAAACCCTCCCAAAACCTCTAACTGTGTGACAGACTGTTGACTGAGTGTTTAGCAGAGGCGTGCTCGCGTGCATCAACCTAAATGTGTCAATGAGCACACCCCATTAATCGAAGTTACCAGTCATTAACTGAGGCACAGCAGTGAGGAAGCCTCTGCTGCCATAGGAACAGAATTAAGCTGCTGTTTCTCTCTCTCAGTCTCCCTCCCTGACCAGCTTTAATTTGCCAAGCTTTTCTGTATCCAGGAAATACAATGACTAGCCTTCGCCTTTGTTGTCTAACAGGGATTTTGACTATGCGGAGACAAGGCTGGGGAACAGGGCGCGCACAGCCCAGACATGCTTTTGCAGCAGTTGTTTTCTTTTCTTTGTTCTCGATTTATTCTTTGTAATCCCTTCTTTCCTCTCCTTTCCCTGCGCCTGCCTCTCTCCCCTGTCCTCTCTCTGTCAAACGCACACACTCCTCTTATTTATTTATTTCTCTTCCTCCTCCTATCCCTTAGTCTCTCTTCTCCTCTATCTCTCCCTCTGTCCTCTCCCAAGTCTTGCGCAGTCATATCAAGCGGCCTGCCAAATAATTAGACAGGACATTTGTTTTGAAAACACATTTACAGAGGGGTATTATCCTCTCTCACAGACATAATTTTAATCAGACATGACAACAGAACGTTTTTAGGGGTTGGCAGATAAACACAAAGAGGAAGACAGATAGGAAGAGAGAACAACAGAGTGGGGGGACAACAGAATTTGGAACTAATTTAACTATTGTGTTGTGACAGTATTCGCTGGAATTCCTCGCTGCACGGCTGATATACCATATCTGTGCTGCCTCTATTTTCCACCCCCCTACAGCTGACAATTTCAGTGGAGCATAACGGAATTTTGCAGGTATAAAATAGTCTGCAGATGTTCTCAAGAAAACAACTTACTCTCACTTTCTGTGGTTAGATACAAATCTGGATGATAAAATCTGCTGTGACTATTGTCTCTCTGTAAGAGAAACCAACTTTATTTTCTAGTAAAATATCTATAGGAACTATAGCTGCACAGTTTATTCCTCCATGACCAAAAAACCTGGAGGAGAGAGTGTCATCGTGGGCTGTCATGGCTGTCCAGATTATGTGGCATGTCTGAAGGCATTCGCCAGCCATGAAACCCATGTTCGCTTGTGATTGAGTCCCTTACTTCCAGACTGACTTTATTTTACAGTGACATTCATTTCTCTCCCCTTCATATGAACCCTGTCTAAGGAGAGGACACCCCGAACAGGTGTGTAATTAAAACCCATGAGTGTAAAAATTAAATGCATGTTTTACAGGCTAGTTAAACACATTTTTCCGAGTTAATAGAAAATTACTAATGTACACTGTAGACGAGCTGAACCAGCGGAACTGTGAACTGCTGATGAATAAATGTTTAAGAGGTGATTAAGGTTTATTGTTCATCTGAAGCACTTTCAAGGTTATTGTGTGGCCCCAACATGAATCTATAATTTTTCATATCCATTAAACTGCTGAGGTCTTTTACCAAATTTCACAATGTAGCTCACCTCCTTTGACAGTTTAAGACAGTTCTCTGTCCTGCACCTGGATGAATGTGTAGAGATGTTATACAGTATGTTAGAGTAATCACTGTATGTCAGGCAGAAAGGATGCCAGCGGAGGCTCAAAGCTAGTATGGCTGTATTCTGTCCCTGGCTAAAAGCAGAGGAAACCTTGAAGTTTGTGTCACTGTGTGTAGTGTATAACAGTATAAAAGAAGACAGAAAATCTGCAGGTGAGTGTGGATTTACAGCGTATATTGACTGTACACCTACACTCACAGACAATCATCTGACTGCACCAGCATCAGAATTATAACCTAGTTTATTGCTAAGTACGTTTTCGAATACAAGGAATTTGCTTTGGTGTATTGGTGCATAACATAAACATAGTGAGAGAAAATGAAACTAATAATAGAGGCAAGTGTTTATATCATGTGTGTATCACACATGTATCACAGTACAAATACAATCACTAGTTACAGGTTAACATTGACTTTAATATCAGTATTTTGTTAACCACTACACTTTGGTTTCCTACTTGCAGTTCCACTTCAAACCAGCAGGGAGCAACCTTTTATTATAGATTTCGGAGTCTGCTCCGCTGAGCTCTGCGAACTGCTTTAAGGAGGTTATTCTGCGGCTGATTCAGCAGGGTAAGACTCAGTTGCTGGGCTAAAGTTTTTTTTTCCTGGTCTGACCTGGGTTTGGCACTCATAGACTGATTTTGTTGGAAACTGCGTGACATTTTTCCTTTATTATGTGCAATATTTCTTTGACTTGCTCCATCATTTGCACTGAAACAAGATAAATATGGGAGAAATACTGTTACAAATCAAATATATTGACGGTTGTACGAATAAGACTTGCGTTTGCTAAGATGACTGTAGTGTTTTTTTTTAAAGATCCCGTGGCGGCCAATATGACTGACATTCACATTGGTTATGAACACTGCGGTGAAGAATCTTGGATGTTTTGAGATCAGCAGACTAAGAAGTGAATAAGGAGTAAGTGCGGAGACATGTGTACACACAGAGATGACAAGCAGGATGTCAAAGGGAGGCAGTGAAAAGTGCTAGAAAATGAAGGAAATGACTCCACTGGGAAAAGGATAACATATGACCCAAAAAATAAAGGAGAGGCTGGTTCAAAAAACTTACTGTAGGTTGCATAACATACTGTTGATGTGGCATCCAAGATGTACTCTGGACCTGTGAAGATGAAAGTTGGAGGAGAGAGGAGAGAAGAAGATGCAGCAAAGGTAGAGGTGGCGACGATGTGATCAGACATGACGAAGGAAATAGAAAGAGTTGGAAGAAAGTAGGAAAAGTAAAGTAATTAAAGAAGGAGGGGATGGGCACGAGTAGGAGGATGCAGAAGGGAGGTCAGGAGGAGATGAGAGGAAAGGGAAGATCAAAAAGAAGATTGTTATAAGTGGATAAAGAATTGAGGAAGAGAGAACATAAAGAAGGACAATTGGAAGACAGAATGACAGGAAGGGAGCGAAAATGAGAAAACCAAAGAGGAGAAGAGAGAAAATTAATCATTAGCTCAAGTCTTTACAAGCCCATTTCAGAGCCTCAGTCCCTGCGGCAGTGTGTCTTAAAGAATATTACAGCAGTAACTGAGGGTCCACTATACAGTATGTTATGTTGTAATTATAAGAGGATATGAAGACCACAGAGAGCAATACAGTCTAATAATTACTGCTTCACAGTGGAGGTTTCATCATCAAAGCCTGTCTTGGCCACAAATCACCACTTTCATCTCCTACTGCCCAACCCTAACATGAGCAGGAACAAGTCCCTTTGGGCCCCTTTGTCACATGTAAAATACAGAAATTATATGAGTGCATGCACATGTTCAACTACCTGTGTCTGTCTATGGGGACTTATCGAATGCAAGGTAGGTTAAATCCTTCTTGCGTTTTTCCTCAAAAAGCACTTTGTGACTGTGCCTCCGTGTGTAATTCTGTGCCGCCGAAGGTGTGTCTTTGCATTTGTCTGTCTCGTTTACAGCAGTGTTTCGTGCTAGAAAAAAAACCTGTGGGGGAGGACCGGTGTTTGTTTTAAAGTCTATGTGTTTGACAAACTGAGGATCAAGTACTGAGTCAATCTCTCAAAGAACCGCAGCTACATCGCCAACCAGCTTTGACATGAATTGGTATGGTTTGTGCGTGCGGAAAGAGAGAGGATGTGACACACGGGAACAGAGAGAGAGAGAGAGAGAGACAAAAGGAGGATTTGTGCCTAAGAATGAAAGATCGATGGGAGGAGTGCTGCAATATAAGCCTGTGTTTTATCATTGCTAGACTAAGAATTGTCTTGAATGGAGAGAGCTGATAAGTCAATTTCTTTGCTAAAGTCTTCGCTGAGAAAAAGACAAGCTCTGCTTGCTTGACCTGTTTGTTCAGGGACTACACACAGGACTACAGTGAAACAAGAGGTTAATTCAACAAATTTTAAATTCATTTTGAAATCAGAGACCAGAGGTGCTGTGGGTGAGAGTAAGTGAAATAGGGGTGTCGTGATCTACCCGAACTGACAATAACCATGATATTTAAAAATGAAGCACTGATATCATGTTCATAACACACGTGATAATATTGTGCAAATAATTCAGAACCTCTTAAATCATTTCTATTTCATCCTTTGTCTCCCTCCCTTTCTCAACACCATCTGGTTGCCTTTTTACTATCCATTAAGTGAACTAGCTCTTTCTGTACAGTGTCGTACAGTTACAGCTACAAACTCTGTCTCTACCTCCCTACACTCGTATATTGAGTGTAATTCATTTGCCAAAAAAAACAAACAAAACTTTTGACTGAAAACATCATTATTCCTCTTATTATTATTCAAATTTTCTAAAGATATCATGATAATATTGATATCGTGAACTCTTTTGGCCACAATAATTGTGTAGTGAAAATCCAATATCATGCCTGCCCCAAAATGAAAGTATTCAATCTATATTTTCAAACCTCCTGGTCCCACGTAAGTTGTTAATGTCACTCAAGATGAGGCAGCTCTTATTCTATATTTATCTGTGTGCCAGCACATCCCATGGAAAGACCAAAATGAACAATGTGTTGGCCCACACTCCACACCAGGCTGCATTTGTTCCTAATGAAGACAGAAATCTTTAAACATAGATCACAAGTGTGTACTATCATCTTAAAAACTTAACAGGAGCTTAACAGGAGAGAATATTTGTTGGGGACTATTTTCAGCTGTGGAATAATACACATTTGGTGCGCTGATAAGTACTTACGGCACCAAGATGGTATATGTGGGACTGACTCAAAATGAACTACAGCACCTCATGGCAATGATGGATCCAGTGACATAGTGTGGCTCATTGATGTGTTTTTAATGGAGCTCAATTGCACATCGACAAAACACTGTATCAGGCTCTGTCTACACTGACTTACTTCTTAGCAGGATCAATTTATTGTTGTCTTTTCACAGGATTTGTTGACAATAAGAAAAATCTAGAATATCATTTATCCTTTACAACCACAGATTTAAAACTACTAAACTAAAGCTTCATTCCTATGTACCTCCACGGAGTTGTTAACTTCTCTTTGCTATTGCCATCAGGTTGCATTATAATGCCCTTGGGATGCCGTATTGGAGCTGTGTCTTACTTTGAACATTAGTGGCTTTGTAAAATCTGTCGGCTGGCCAGAAAACTATAGCAAAGTCAAAATGCAAAATTGAGCTTGTGCACAGGACAAAACAGTTAGAAAAACAGTTTACTAAAGTACTTGAATTTGGAAGGAAAGTAACCAAATGACACCATCATGTTAGCTTTAGTGTTATTTATGTAAACACACAATCCTTTATTAGACAACCAATTTTCCAGTGGGCTATTCAAAAGCCCTTACAGGATTTGAAAGCTTGATGTAGCCCTGTAAACTTAAGAGGGGGTCCACCCACCTGATATGTAGAGACAGGAGAGGCAGCGATGAAGGGCGTGATTGACGTCTGTGCAATCATCCGATTGGTGGAGATGCTGTATGGTGAAGAATAGAACCTGTGCAACCAAACAAGAAAAGATTTAAATATCATAAGATTAATATTAACAATACTTATAAGTGGCATAAAGCTGAACCAAGAGAACATTAAAAGACAATTTTGAGAGAAAACTGCGACGTCAGTCAAGAGGCTTCTCTGCTCATACAGTTTTAGCGCTCCAGATATAGCCACATGCAAAGGTGAAAATCAGCCTTTTTGTTCTGCTTTGTTTTCAACCACCCAGCACATCTCAAGACAACGCAGACAAAATGGATCAGACATCATCAAGGCTGTCATGGAAACAATAAATATTGCAGCTTCACTCTGTGCCATGCCATCAAAGACGTCTTCGAATGAGACTTGACACTGCACCGGGGCACACATCATGTTACAAAGGCGTCTGCTCCACTGCTGTGCATAATAATGAATTATCACCTTAATGTGTAAGTGGGTGAAATATCTCAATGTTGCCCTCTATGTTTCCACCTACGCGTGTTCCAGCAGAAAAAGCTGCATCTGTAACATCTGCATTTTATACTGTTTACTTCTGTCCCTATACCTTTGTTTGCCCTTCTGATTTTGCTGTTTTTTTTTTTTTATTTCACCCCCTCAACCCTGCAGCAGCAGAATGCTGTGGCTCACAGTGCTTTATTTATCATTGTGTACCTAGAGAGGACATGTTTCATCCGCCAGGCCGTGTTGCTGTGCCCGATCGATCCCAAAGTGTCTGTTGACTGAATAATGGAGCAAGGGAGGGGAGAAAGAGAGAGGCAGCGACAGAGAGAAGCCCTCCCCTATCTATCTCTAACATAGCCGTGATTGTATAAAAAGGTATACGCTGCAAATCAATTGTAGCTTAATTTGCAGAGAAAATTACTAAAAAAGCTTGGTTAGTTTTAGAGGTTACTTCAAGCCGTATACACATTTGCTGTATTTCATTCATAAAGATCTATATCACATATAATAGAATATACAATATCAGCTCTATTCTTACAACTGAGATGACAGCCAAGGTTGAGCAACCAGCTAGAGACAGGAAAACATAGATGGATTGCTGCTACTCCGCTGTGACACCAGCACACATCTCATTTCAAGGGTGAAATGGGTTGCCGAGGTGGTCACCTGCTCCGTTATTGCACTTTCTGCTTCACATTACATTTGTTCGGTCAATGATAGCATGAGCAGTGCTGAACTCAGCTGCGAGATGCAAACCCTGAGGTATTTTTTAAACTCTTGCAGTCTTGGCCTTGTGGCTGCAGTTGGTTTCCAACTGCCTGCGATAAGCTCCAGAGTGTGAGTGTGCTTCACACGGACATCCAGCCTCCCAGTTGGATTTTTATGCTCTACTTGGTGTGTTGAAGCCTAGGTAGTAGTGCATAAAGAGTATAGCTACAATGGTGACTCTCTGCTTTTCCCCAATAAAACGTGGCCCACGTCCTCGGCACCAGAAAGAGAAATCTCATGAATTATTAGCGCTAGATATTTTCCCTTGCCAAGGTTTAGCTCTGGTTCATGCGCAGGTTGATTGTGTGTTCTCTCTTAGGTGTGTTGACACTGGCTCAGCTTACTCAGATTTTCCCTGAACTCTTTAAAGGGACATAGATTTTCTTTAAGTTTCCTCTTGCGCCTTTCAGCTCTGGCTTACCTGAATGTCTCCTTGAGTTTTCCTCTAAGTACAGCCTCAAAGGAAACTATGTGTATTGTCACTCATGCAAATATTTTCTAATAGCATGTTTTCTTTGAGCAAAACAGCAGTGTGTGTCTACATTTAATGATATGTTTCAACCTCATACGCCACTGGAAACTGAAAAGATTGAACAAATATATCATGGATGGATCTAAGTTGGAGAAAGAACTGGAACATGTTTGTCAAAGTGGTGATCAACAAGAAAAAAAAAAACTCATCTACTGATCATGTGGCAGCATGGATCCATCTTTCTGACTGTACAATTAATGTATGACTCACATTAGAGATACTGTATTACTGTCACTGATGAATACAAATGAGAGAATGCAGCCGGGTTATTCAATATGGTTCTCTGATTGTGTTTATTGTATTTTTCATTAGACTGATGTGTACTGAGAGAGAGAAATAGTAGGTAGAGGACAGATCCAAGGTTATTGATGGAGGCTATTAGCCCTGAGCATCACGCTGTCAATAGGGACTCCAGCACGGCTGTTTAAACAATACACTAAACATGTAATTGCAAACAGAACATTACTACGGGATTGAATTTAAAACCTCTCTGTGAATCCCTGGCGTGACCTAGCCGCACTGTCAGGAGTTTGCCCTGAAAAATTAGCGAATGATTTAGTGCCGACCTCAGTGACTTTTCAGCGAGAAAATGTGGGGGAGCATGCTAAAATATATATGTGTATGTGCATGTGTGTGGGCAGGAGAAAGAGAGGGAACAGAGGACAGATAGAAAGGCAGAGTATGAGAGAGGTAAGAACAGAGGCAGGGAGGAAGAGAGAGAAGGACGGAGAAACAAAAGGACAGCAAACAGACCAGATAGGCGGACGGAGATTGAGAAAAAGAGAGCCAGGGAAAGTGAATTTTGTGTCTCCCTGATAAAAGAGAGGACAGGCTTTAAGCCAAAGCAGTCTGGTTGGTTGGGCCACATGTTTCCAATAACATCAGATTGGCATCAGACCTTAGAAACTAGCCGTCCTCGAGCTTGGAAAGACTCGCAAACCTGTAATTGATTCGTACCCTTTCCCTCTCCTTGGGCTGACTTTATTTTTGCCTTTGCCCTCCTCTTGACCCCGCCCGGCCCTCCCTTTTCATTCAATCCCCTTCCCTCCCCGCTTTTTTGCCTCTCTAATTAGCTGCATTAGCATTTCACAGTCATTTAGCGCTTCGCCGGAAGGAGCCCCGTTGACCTCGGAGGAGAGGTCGGGAGAGGGCTTAAGCACCGCAAGCGCACAGATGCTCTCGTGAGAGCATGTATTTTACACATGCATGAGCACGCACACATACACAAAGACTCAAGAGATGACAGAAAGTAAATCATCTGCCTGGAAATGGAGAGTAGGAATTAGAAGAAGAAAGGGATTAGGGGAGACAACAATGTAGAAAAAGGGAAGAAAAGAATGAATTGAAAACACATTAAAAAGAAATTTTAGGAGGAGGCCCGACAAGCAGAAGAGGAAGTGATATGAAGAAGGTAAAGGGAAGTTAAATGCAAAGAGCAGGAGGACAACAGTAAAGAAGAAGTAGGGATACATAGAGTAGGGACGACTGGGCCGACAAGAAGGAGGAGAAGAGAAACACAGAGCTGGAGGGAAGCGTCTCCTGGGATCGCATCACCAGCAGCATTCCTAGCAGACAGGACCGATCTCCAATTTCCCCCTGAAACAGGCAGACACTCGGCTCTCTGCATTCAGCCTGAGAGCACTGCAGATAGCCTTGGCTGACGAAAGTCTTACAGCGGCGCTGCAACACCGCCCAACTTCCCTGTCTGCAATCAAAACCTACATGTCTGACAGCTTGTATGCATAGGTGCATAAATAAATACTCCATCTGCACCAGTCAGATGTGAGAATGAGGGCAAGATTGCACAGCAGGGTAAGACAAAGAGTGAGAGAGTGTGTATGTGCATGAGTTAATGACCCGTGTATCCTGTATCTGTTTGAATATGTGTGCATGTTTGTGCTCTTGTGCATATTTGTGCATATAGGTGGCTGGTGTGTGTTCATCTTCACAGCTGAAAAGGTTCATTAACACGTGCTTTAGAAGTATTCCTCCTGGAATGTGAATCAAAAGTTCACAGACAAAGTTGTAGACACAGTTTGTAAATCTGATTTAAAAAAAAAAACCACCTACCCATTCTGCATCGCGGTGGGATCATACGTCAACGCCATACCACTCTGGAGAGACAGAGATAAAGAGAGAAACATATACACCTAAAGGTTAAAATACGTGATATTGCTTTTGAATCATTTTTGTTTCCTCTCTCATTAAGATGTTTGGTTTTTTGGTCGTTTGAACTGACAGCGAGATTGCCTCCCACGAACAATCATGCCGATGAAGGTAATAAATTGAGAGGGAGAGACAGCAGAGTCGGGACGAAGAATGATTCATGATGTAAAATAAACACAAAGGCTTTGACTTAAAATCCAACAATATAAACAAGTGAGTGGGATACAAAGACCTGCTAAATAAAGAACAATTGATGATGTCCTCAGTAGCGCAAAAATCTCGAATGTGTCAGTTAAAAGCACCAATGAACGATAAAATTATTCTGCATGAATTGGTGTGAGCCCGTGGACCACTTAAAACTGTACATGTTCAAAAATATCCACAGATATAGTAATATAACCACAAAAGGAACATTGAGGGATGACTGTTATAGCCTCGATATCATTACTGCATACTAGGGATGTAACAATGCACTCATGATATTGTATTCTGAACTAAAGGTTAGACTGGAAGTAAGATATGAGAGCAGAAGATTTCTTATTTATTGCTCTTTAGTCATTGAATGCACAAAAATATTAATGTTAAAGTTTTCAAAAGGAACTGTTATCAATGCTAAAAACACCTCTTTGAAACCAAATGTGGGAAATAGTGCTGTTCACTTCACTCGCATTTAACAACATAAAGGACAATTCAGAGGTTGATGTATTTGCACACAAAGTCAATAGATAGAATCTAACACTGGGCTACATAAACTGTGGTGAAAGCACATCCGCTTGAGTTAAAAATGTTTCAATTTGAGTGAAAATTATCAGCTTCTGTCTATTTGCCAATTGTATGGCTTTGTGAACACACAAAGGAGCAGAAAAGAGACAATCTGGAAGAAAATGAGAAAAACTGAAGCTTCTGGTTAATTTTGAAATCGGTCTGTCTGAGCTGTCAGACACACAGTAGGAGCGTGTTGTCACAGCAAACATCTGCACCGCCAGTCAGGAAACTGACAGTGGCCAAAATGCACCTAAAACACTCAATCAGTCAAAACGAGCCCAAACTTCATTTCGCTGGCTGCAGCTTGCTCAAAAAACTTCCCACAGTTTGGGAGACGATTGTAAATGTGTACTTAATATTGTGGGCCAGTTTTCAGCTCCATTATGCATATAGTTACCATTTTTATAACACAAAATATCGATCCACAAAACACAGCTACACCCCAACTGCAGGAAGCACTCAGGATGGACTGCTGGATCAACAAGCGGACACCATATTGCAATTTTCCTGAAGCGATCTCCATCAGTTACAAGGCTCACTTCTTACTACACTACCCAGTATAAATGAGTAGGATGATGTTGTGCATTCCAGCTGCGTTCTATCAGTTTCACAAGAAACTCAAAGCTACAAGAGTGCATTAAAGTTGCTAAGTACTCTTTGTCCCTCCTCCTCTCCATTAAAAATTGTCCCCGTTAAGTCAAGTGTTTATCATTAAGTGACACTTCTGCAAGTCTCGGAATGTTTTCTGTCTGTGTCTCACTTCCACTATAGTGCAAATGAATTAGACTGTACTTTTTGCTGCTAAGCTTTGAAAAAGATCTTCACCCACTTGACTGCCTCTTGGCAATGTTGGAACAAACATCAAGCAACAATAGTGTTTTTAGTCCTCTAATCTTTCGCTCAATCGCTGTCCCGAACCCCCCCCCCCCTTCGTCCTCTTCTATCTGCAGCCCTACACAAGTCATTTGGACTTGTTCTATATTCCACACAACTATCTTCTCTCCAAATTGGCACACGAGTTGAAAGTGTGCCCTGATGCTGAACTCTGCTGCGATGTTTGTTTTTTCCCCAAACACTGTTTCTAGCCAGGACTGGGGGAATATAGACTGCACAAGCAATAAAAAATGAGCGCCAGACACTGATGACACCAAATAGCAAAAATTAATCATTCCAAAGCCCGGGATTCATTTTGGTACCAGCTCTTTGACAAGCATCTGATTTAAAGCAGGTAAAAACTACATTACGCATACACAAGAATCCTAGTCTTCACCTTGAGCTGCATTTGTATTTACTGCAGGTTCCCTTGAACTGTCTTTTTGAACAGAAGATTTCAGAGCCAGAGTTAGAGGCGATCAGCTCTGTGAAGCATCTTGATGTTCGCATCATGTCCTCTAAGTTTCCTTCATCTAACAGAAAAGACTGGACAAGATTCCTCACTGCTGCATAATGCCAGCATTAGTGCACAAATGTGTATGTTTAGAGATTTACCAACCATCCATCTCTTTGTGTGTGCATTTACAACGTATCCTTATGAATGGATTACTGAATGGACCTACCTGTAACTGGCCCAGGGGCCCAAAGGATCAAGGGGCCCCTAGATACAGATCATCTGTTTGAAGTTACTGTTAACATCTCGTGTTGGAAAGTCAAATGAATACAAAGAGATTTAAAACAACTACAAAGAGACACAACATGACTACAGAAAGACACAAAACAACTAGAAAGAGACATAAAACGTTTACAAAGAGACACAAAACAACTACAAAGAGGCGTACAACAACTATAAAGAGACACAAAATTACTACAGTGACACATAAAACAACTACAAAGAGACACAAAATGACTAAAAGGAAACAAAACCAACACAAAGACGACTACAGAGTGGCACAAAACAAGTAGAAAGAGACATAAAACTACAAAGAGACACAAAACAATGACAAAGAGACACAAAACAACTACAAAGAGACACAAAACCATCACAAAGACCATTACAAATAAACTAGAAAGAGACATAAAACATCAACAACTACAAAGGGACAAAAGAAATTCTACAAGGAGACAAAACCAACACAAAGACAACAAGGAGACATAAATTCACTACAGAGAGACATAAAACAACTAGAAAGAGACATTACACAACTAGAAAGAGACATTAAACAACTAGAAAGAGACACACAATAACTACAGAGAGACACAAAACAACTAGAAAGAGACATTAAACAACTAGAAAGACATAAAATGTTTACAGAGAGACACAAAACAACTACAAGGCAACACAAAACCATCACAAAGACAATTAAAGATAAACAAACAACTAGAAACAGACTTAATACATCTACATGGAGCCATAAAACAACTACGAAGAGACACAAAATTACCACAAGGAGACGAAACCAACAGAAAGACAACTACAAAGAAACACAAAATGACTACAGAGTGACACAAATCAAGTAGAAAGAGACATAAAACAACCACAAAGAGACACAAAATGACTACAGAGAGACACAAATCAAGTAGAAAGAGACATAAAACAACCACAAAGAGACACAAAATGACTACAGAGAGACACAAAATGATAGAGTGGCACCAAAACAACTAGAAAGAGACATAAAACATCTACAGGAAGACACAAAACAACTACAAAAAGACACAAAATTACCACAAGGAAACAAAACCAACACAAAGACAATTACGAGGAAACATAGAACAACTACAAAGACACATAACATGGCTACAGAGAGAAACAGAACATCTACAAAGAGACATCAAATGACCAAAAATGAGATTATAGAGGGACTCAAAATGGCCATAAGGAGACAAAATATGTGTAGTTGAAAAGACAAAAACAACCACACACAGCAGGATGCATCACTTGTAGTCGTATTGTATCTCTTTCAGTCCGTGTGCTCCTGTGCAGAAGGGGTGGAGGGGCTTTTACATGTCTGTGCCCAGAGGCCTGCTGCCGCACTGTCCGCTCATGTGTATCCGATGTGTGTTTCTCTGCACAAATGTTGTATGTGTGAGTGATTGTGTGTGTAATATGTGCTCATGTCACAGTCCCAAGGCCAGACTCATTTAGGAGTGAGAGGTTCTGGGAGATTAGGGTCGGCTGACTGAGTGTGAGGACGCAGTGAGGCCCATCAAAGCACCTCCACGGCCAGATGCCTCTATTAGTCTGCCTGGACTCAGAGACCTGGCTCAGACAAATGCATAAACCTCTGAAGAGATGCTTTTCCTCAGCAAGGCTGAGTGGGGCTTGTCAGGACTTGGGGCGCTGACAAATGTGTGAGGAATCCCTCTGAAACCACTGATCATTTATTTTAAGTCCGGCTAACAACTTACAAATGTTGACAAGTGGATAGAAATAAAGAATCACTTACACCAGACCCTCTAATGTTAACTAAGCGTGGAAGTGATTTGTCACTCTTTGTGACAAAACAAAGACTGCAATCTGTGTCTGCAACACATATGAAGGTCATGCACAGACTGTTTTTGTTGTGGTGCCTCTTATTTTTCAGCACAGAGTTGTTTCAGCCTGGTTCCATTTCATTTCACTTCACCACCCTGCTCTTTCCCAACCTCCATGTAATGTTGAGAAACTGTTAAAAACTGCACTCCGTGTGTGGGTGGCGACATTATTATTCACTTTCCCTTGTTCTGTAAATTAAAGCTTTGGTATCGACACTAACAACTTCTGAACTCCCTACATTGTGTAACAGTCAATCTGCTTTCAATCCACTGCACAAGGTTTCATTTCCTCTGAAGATGACAGACTGGAGGTGGGAGTTTTAACAAAAGGAAAAACAACTTGGCATTGGGGTCTTGCAGAAACCTTGGATTTTAAATTTAACAACCTTTGTACATGCAAGCTTTCATACTGACAGCAGCATCTCTAATTCAGCCTACAGTATGTTATTGGAAATGAAAGCTGATAATGACCCCGTAGGGGGGCCTGTCAAGTTATTGAAACTTGGTTATAAGATGTGAAAAAGAAACTGATGTGAAAGGGAACATCAGCTAGCATGTTCAAAGTTTATGAAAATGATGTCCTTTCAGACCTACCGTAATGTTTTCTGTGAAGCAGCTGTTGACACTGAGCTGTGAAATCCTACAGTACAATCTGTTGTACCGCAGTATTTCACCCTCACCTCTCTGACTATTATGATAAGATTACTGTTGTGCTTTTGCTCGATAGCTGAGTAGGAAGAGGTTTAAAAGACGTTTGTGGATATACTGTACTGATACTTGTGACTAAGCTAGAATAACACCTCTTTTGGTTTGTTAACTTAACTATTTTGTTTTAAAAACTCTCTCAGTAGACTCATTTAGACTGTGAGAAGTGAGAGGCTATTGTAGATTTAGAAAATGTCTACTGCTGCATAATTCTGCCTGAGGAAAAGTCTGTGTTGCTTTCTTTTACAGTGGCAGAGAGTAAAAAAGGATTATGTTTTAACAAACTGATTGGAGGACATGATTCTTGTGTTACAATTCGCCTTTTCCACTTGTGTTTTTAAGAAAAAGCTGCTGTGGCTGCTGAGGAGGATATTCATAAGGGTACTGCTGAGCTTTTTTTTATGATTGAATACACTTTCAAGCCTAACCTCTCCTTCCCGTGTCCACGGTCGGCCATTCTGGGGATACTTGACTTGGGTCTGCCTCTTCTTCTGGCCTCCGTCAGCGAACTTGCACAGCAATGGCTCTGCAGGGGCTGCAGAGTGAGTCAGACAGAGAGGGAGACAAGGACAAACACAGAGATGGATTAATCATCTTAATAGCAGGAAAAAGAGAAATTTTATGCATTAGGTTAAGAGTTACATTTCAAAGATAAGATTTAAATACAGGGTGTTATGCTGTGTCTTAAACAAAAACATAACATAAATCAACTGGACCTGAAAAACAGCACTTCAGCTCTTACATTTATCTCTCCCACCCCTAATCTAAACATCCAAACAACAGCAGTTATCGCGCCATCTCTACAACCCCTACAACCACACTTCGACAAAAGCAGCCTTGACGTGGAAACAAAGCCACGGGCTAATCATCAAAGCGTGGTGAGCGTGGTTCAAACGACAAACCAAACAGGCATACTTAATACGCTAAATAACTCAACACAGCTTGACCCCGGGCGATAGACCGCGATTGTGATTGCTCCAAAGACAACATGGTCCTTTTCTAGACCAGAGAAAGAAGAAAGCCTTGATTACAAATTGGATTAGCTGAGTGTGACCTCCCATACAAAAGTTCACCAAACTCCAACTACAACCTGATAGGCTGCAGCCTTTGAATACCCTACAGGTTTCTGGAATCGCAGGAAGTGGCTGGATTGGGGCAGGATTATACAAATGAAGAAAAAAAAAGGCTTTGTTCTGTATCGATTTATTTTATTTTAAAAGCATATCTTTAAAATTTGTAAGAAAGTAAAAAGAGCGTGAATAATGGCTTCTATTTCTGGGAAATGCTTCAGCAACAGTATGACTCAACAAACACAATAAAAGTATTATCCTAACATGAACCAGGACACTGAGAGAGGACATTTAATGGCTTATGTAGTCAGATAGTCCCATATATTTTGAATCATGGATCAAAGTAAATGCCGCCCTTGTGGATATACAGCTACTAAAGCACTTCCAGAGATGTGCACAGGACATTACACACATAAATGTAATGTTTATGTTATGTTATACAGTTAGAAACGGGACACAACCGTGTATGAGTGTAGTTCATGTATATAATTAGAAAGTGAAATGAAGACTTCCTTTAAATGTATGTGGGATATATATATAGGTAATATACAGTATATACATACACATGCAAATTCAACTGCCAACTTAAAGGAGCAATAAGCAAAATTCATCATTTCTAGATTGAAGGTTTTAAAAAAATGCTATGCGAAGAACTAGAGGTGTAATTTCATCTGGAGTATAGCATGACCTCACACAACCTCTCTCTGTGTTGATCTCCAGCCCCTTGTTTACAAGCCGGTCCGGCTGTGCGTTCATGTACGTTCATGTGAATCCCCACCCCCCCCCCCCCCCCCTCTCGGAGCCCTTGGCCCTCCCTCCCTATAAAAGGCTACAGCCAGTGTGCAATGGCAGCGCGTATTTTCGAAGTGAAATGGCGGAGTCAAATGTCTGTTTTAATTAGTGTTACAGTAACGTTAGGCACATGTTGCCATATCGATTCAATTAAATTTAATGTTACAATCGTAGCATGGGTTAATGTCTGGAGCTTGAGTTATTAGCGGCTCTGTCCCAGCAATGGGTCAGGCGTTAGGGTTGTGTTAGGTCAGTAGCCCGGCAGCCCAGCTAACATTTGCAATTAGCATTGTAAAATGTAGCTCGGCGGGCAGCCTGGTGGGCAGCCTGGCGGGCTGTATTTAGCTATGCCCCTGCCTACTTCAATGATGATGGTACCTGTAATAAATGTAATATATTTGCTGAGATGGAGGCGAGGCTCAGTGACTAGAAGAGCTGGTAGAAGCGCTCCATAGCTGTAAGTTACTCCAGTAGCCGTAGTAGCTCTAGTGCTAGCTCCAGGAGCTAACGCTAACGTCCCTACTCTGCGTGAGCTGGAGCCATGAGCTGTGGGCTCACGGAGAAGAATAGGAACGTTAGCGTGGCAGCTGACTAGTGCTAACGCTAACTCACGGCTCCGGCTCACGGAGAAGAGTAGGGACTTAGCGTGGCAGCCGACTAGTGTTAACGCTAACAGGAAAGCATGGAAATAGCCAACCACACCAGAGACTAAGAGTGAGTGAAAGACATCGCTAACTGCTAAACTAAGCCAAACTAAGTTGGCTGTTTAGGTTTTATTTCCTCGCCCCTGTGGCGAGTGAATCTGCCTGTAGTGAAACGGGGGCTAATCAGTGCTTCCTCCTCAGGCTCCACTTCACTCAGCTGCCAGCACAGCCAGTTAGCCTCCACTAGCTTCCCGGCTAAAGTTAGCCCCGGCTCTCCGTTTGGATCCAACTGGAGTACCGAGCCCTGGTTTGTTATTCAGGTTAATGTGGGAAGAAGCAGAGGGTATATCAGGCAGCTGAGTGAAGTGGAGCCTGTGGAAGAAACACCGGGACCGTCTGGATGTAATAGTCCGTGGAGATGCTGCAGTGCTCAGTTGCACAAACGAGGCGAGTGGGGTGGGGGGTGGAGAGCAGAGGTAGAGGGAGGAGTGGCTCATGACACACTTTGTTTTGGTCTACAGGCAGTGCACAACAGCAAACCTAGCGGTGAAACGATTTCGCTTTTTGCCCCTTTAAGACTTCTTATGACGCACTTCATGACAGTATGCCGAAATAGAAAGGCATTTAAATGCAGTTAAACACTGAAGTTATAAAGCTCTAAAGTTTAATTACATCAATGAAACGCTGTCACACCAGCAAGTGCTCTGTTCATGTCCTGATTCAGTTTTATGAAGACAGCCTCTGACCCTGAAATTGAATAAGCCACCTACTTTTATGCATTGCCTCTCACTTGTTACTTTAATACGTCCACCAAGGCATGTTTGAGTCATTGACTGCATCTTAAAAGAGGCTATTAGCCGGCACTTGTGTCTTATTTAACTGGCAATGATTTCAAACTGCGGAGAAAAGTCTAATCCTCATTACTGTGTGTAGATTAAAAATAAAGAAAAAGAATTCTATGAACTAGCAGAGGCGATATCATCATGCCAGTGCTGATTCGCACATCATGAATGCCAAAATAAACTACGCAATTACCTCGCCTACTTCAAGAAAAATGTTTTTTCTTCTCAGTAAACTGAAAAATGAGAAGAGGTGTTCTCGGTGGAGAGAAGCATTCGGAGCTCAAGGTTGAGACGAGAGTTATTTGGAATGCCTGGGGCCTGGATGGGTACTCCAAAGGTAAGTAGACGGAGGAACACAGAGCCGTGTGATTATGCTGCATTTACCGTAGGATGACTTTGTCATTATACTGTTTTAACTTGATTTCTATGTGAATAACAGGCCACGCAGCCGGGCCTCTGTTATCATTCCTCGCCTCTGCTATTCATCTTTTTCAATCACTCCCCATCTTTTCCTCTCTTTTACCCACTCTGCTCTATGCATTCATATACATCAGGCAAACAGTCCTGTGTGTAGGTGTATGTGTGATGTGTGTTTGTGTGTGTGTATCACTATGTCTCACCATAAAATTCAGTTTACTCATGAAAAAAAGAGCTTGGCCCAGAAAGAAACACAAAAGAACAGCCAAGATTTACATCACAAGATAAACAACGAAATCAGAGAAGATACAGGGTGGTGAAAGAAACATCAGTCTCTTTAGTTGATAATAAAGTGGAAAGCACTAAGCGTTACTAACTCATGTGCTGTGGGCCTTCACTCTTTAGCAGCATGTTTGAGGCTTAGATGTATTTTACAGCATTGGTTACCAACTAGTGGGTCGTGGTCCAAAAGTGAGTCGTGGGTCAATTCTGAATGGACCGCAAGTGACTTGTGAAAGTGTCAAGTTTGTAAAAAACACACTTTATTTTGAAGTACAGTGAATTTCTGGTGCAAAGCTTTCATTTTGAGCCTTTTCCTGCTGAAGGGTGAATGACTAATGGACAGCCACCTGACAGACCCCAAACCAGCTCTAAGACATGGCCAAATGCAAGTATGACACTGAAAATATTAAACTGTATGGACCTTGAACTAATGACAAAGGAAAAATCTGGACCCTGTGGCTGGATCAGTTGGGAACCACTGCTTTAAAGGTCCAGTGTGTAGGATTAGGGGCACCTACTGGCAGAAATGGTATATAATATATATTTTTTTTCATTAGTTTAAAATTACCTGAAAATAAGAATTGTTGTGTTTTCATTACGTTATAATGAGCCTTTAATATTTTCTACAGTAGCCCAAAATGGACAAACCAAACACTGGCTCTAGATAGGGCTATTTGCGTTCAAGCATTTTAGCATTTTCTCACATGCATGGCACACAAGAGAGGTTTCAGATCTGCAACCTTACTAAATTCTACACACTAGATCTTTAAAATTAAAACAGCTCCAGGAACTGTGGAGCCCCAGGAACCCAATTCACTTGGTAAAATTCCCTTTTACACATCCCTGCTTGTGTTTCTCCTGCATCAATGGAACCTTTTGATAAGAAAAATTAGTCCAATAATACACACTTTTTCACACAGAAAGTAATTTTGTTGGTCTTTGTTGCTGATATTTGCATAGATCCAATGAAAGGATGCAAAAGAGAAACGCAGATGTGGAAAAGGAGGCTGAAAACTCCAGAACACCTGTTTCCAAAGTAGCAACAATCTAAGTCCACATACTCGTGCTGAAATTGTTGTATTTGTTTATTGTGTTCTCTCCACCCCAGTACTTCCTCAGACACCTGAAAGTATTATCCCTAGAGCTTAGACTTTTGAGCTCCAGGAGCTCAAGCTCTAAGGTCAGAAGAACGACATTCAGACCCTTGTTCGGTAAGGTTTTCTGAGTTTCTGCAATGGTTCCTGAGAGTTCCTGTGGTGGCTGTTTGTGTTAATTTGAGACTTTGGCAAAACCTTTAGTGACACATAGTCTGTGTGATGCAAATGTAAAAGCTTTTATGAGTTGGGCCTCAGGTGGAATCAATATATAGTAATAATGGCTGACAGAGAGATGAAAAGGGTACTATTATTCATATAAAATAGTTGTGAATTCTAGTTTTCAATTTAAAATGGGATTAGGTTCAGAATATGTTAAAATGCCTTTGAGAAT